CGAGCCTGAGAGTACTATAATTTAGCAGGCGGAGAGGTAGACGCATGTCATGTACTGCGGGCTGTCAATGTGACCCTCTCTGCTAAAACCGACTTCGTCCATCTGGGAGCAGAGGCACCATGATAAAGTTACTGTCCAATGACAAATAAATACTTTGACTGCACAGATATTTGGGCGTAAAATACGATAAAACTAAAGGTGGTTGCCACATGAGTGACCACGGGACTTTCAAACACTGAGACATCCCAATTTCAATATTATTCAACCCAATCCGGATGTTGTCTGTTTCAATTAGTTTGCACACTCTGACCTGAGGTTAGAGCTAACAGTGTTGCTGATTTCCTCATTCAAATATCTAAAGAGCTTACCAGCAACCCCTTTTGTTGGTTGAGAATAACCACAGTATCTATATTTCAGCCTGTAAATGCCCATCTTATGTCTGCATCGTTAGTAGCATTTTGGGTAAAAGACTGATAGCTCAAACAATTATATCTTGATCTCTTTCACATGTAAGGTAAGAAATTTCAAGGTATAAAACCAGACATGTATTTCTTCCTGACAAAAGTCCTACCGTAATGTAAGCCCACAATACATGATGGATTATCGTTGCTGATTGGAATGACAGCTTTCCAGTGACGATAACCAGGATAAGCTTCAGAATTAGTAGGAGCGGCATCCTGAGTCCCTCCATCAGATCCTTGCGTTACTTCTAGAGGTGAAATTTCAGAAACACCGAATACTTGAACCAAAATCAGGACGGTGACAGGTGTAGCTCTCACTCCGTTTTCACGTCCCACTGACGCAAAAGCTCATCTGTATCAGCATTACCCTTAGATTTTATATTTGAAGCGAGCGCAGCAAGATTTCTCTCTTTACACAATTGCCATAGTTTCCCCGTAACCTGGTCCAGACGTGGAAACTAGAATCTCTCCATTCTATTCATGTAGGATGGGTATAATATGCGACAGCCCATCAATTCGGTAGCAAAGCATTCACCACAGAAGAAAACTACTAGTGGTTCTTGATGATTAATTAGCATGTGGGATCTTCTTCTCAGATGACCAAAAACTAGAGACTTTTCCCTGGCCAGCGAATCTCCCAGTCCGAGAAATTATACAACTAAAAATTGGATAATTCAATACCTCTAACCTCATCTGCCAGTTTCTTTGAGCCCCAGCCGAGCTGGATCTTAAGTTATATCATGTTATTGGCATAGTAGCGTTAAAATTCCCTTGAGAATTTTACAATGCACGATATTTCACTCGTTAGTGTATGGTCGGCTGTAACGAAATGAAAGACAAGCTGACAGCAAGATCCTGACGTTCACCGCAAAGTTTCTGACTCGGTCTTGGTAGCTGTCCATTATTGCCCTTACTAGGTTTAGTAATGTCTGCATCGTCCGCTCAAGTAAAGTTACTTTCTTTCTGTCACAATCTAATACTGAGCCTGAGAGTACTCAATTTCTTCTTAAGGTATTTTCCAGAAATGGTTTTATTAACTTTGTGAACACACGAGAGGCACAACTTACCCTAAACGGTACATCATTGTATTGGAAGAGCTGACCCTTGAATATGAATCTGAAGTATACTCTATGACTCTCCCTAACGGTTACCAAAATCTCTGCATATTCAAAATACAGATTCGTTAAGAAAGTATCTCTACGGAGAAGTCTGATCCCAGTTCAATAGCCTAGACTTAAGTGTTCAATCCCTATAAACAGACAAAAGTGTCTTGAGGTAAGAAATCAAACGTATTAACCCATCAGACTTCGGGGCAAGAAAAAGTTGGATAGGTGCTGATTTTCAGTTAGCTTAACTTTTTTATTGATAGCACCGCAGCTAAGCAAGTGACAACTTGAGTCCAACTCAGGACTTTAGCGCCACTCCTAAAGCACTGCCATTGATGATGAATACTCATCAATGTCCATGCTGACCTACACACCTCATCTGTAATAATGGGTTGATGTTGTCTGGCCTTTTGGCCTTCAGTTGCTGCTCAGTTTATCTGATTTCTATTTAGAATTGACTTACTTGGTCAGATCTACACCGAAGAACAAGATATCAACGGAAGCCTCTGTGAGCTTACTCCTGAGTTCTTTGCTTTAATGTGAATATCTACCAGCATGTGCTCCTCTCCTTTCTTTGAACCTAGGGGATAGAACATTACCACTTGCAGTTAATGAACAGCTCACATGTTGCTGTACACAGACCAAGTACGCATTCCTGCGTGCGACAATTTCTATTATGGCTCCCGCTACCTCACCTGGTTCACCTTAGGTGGCTAGAATAGAACATTCACCTATGGTCATCAACAAGACCTGCCCTCGAAATGATTGCCTTGGAACAACGCGTGAACATTAATTATACTAAGGTCGCCGCATCATCGTGGTGATGCGTCATCTATAGAAACAGACTACATGGCCTTCAAGACAACATAATCCAGAGCGCCCTGCTAATCGAGTGCCACCTATGCAAAATGTAACTTTAATCCAGCCAGGTGGAATTTGCTATCACAAGCAAAATGTAACGCTAGTCTACCATAGATGTACCTAATTTCTATATGTTCTTAATGAAAAATAGTACTTCAGATGTTTCGTAACCTGTCATGTGCAAATTATTCACCTGTTCGATGGTTATTCCAAACCATATGGAATTTGCTATCACAAGCAAAATGTAACGCTAGTCTCACATAGATAAAACATAATCTCTATCTGTTATTTACGAAAAATGGTACTTTAGTGGTTTCCAAAACTGTCATATGCATTCTGACAAAGATGTTCCAAGGTTGTCACAAACGAGATGAAATTTGCTATCACAAGCAAAATGTAACGCTAACCTCGCATAAGGTGCCTATTCTTTACCTGGTGCAATGCACATCTATTGGCCAACCTTCTGTCCTGTTTTTTAATTCTAAAAGTTCAGCGAATCCTCAACTCTGCTGAAAACGTAAAAATGCGCGCTGATCGCGGTGTTAACACTTTGGCACGAGAACAAGGAATGAAGGTTTATAGGCGGCCAGAGGGGAGGAAGGTAGGGGGAAGAGGCGCGGTGCCGCTTTCCTTCACTGCGTGCGCGCTTTGAAATAGGGGGGTTGAGTACTACTACGAGGGTACTACGATATGTATTCTAAATATTTACTTCGACGAGGACGGAACATATCTTTTATTAACGGCAATATCTACTTTCCAGTAAAGTAGGAAAATTTAAACTCTGGTAAATACCGTGGTCTCGCGAAAAAACCCTTAAGTAGCTTTTTTTGTCTAGAAACCGGTTTGCATTGGCATGGCTATAAACAAAGCAGTATAACAACACCCACAGAAACGTGAGACATAATGGCGGTGTAGTGAGAGACTGGCCAAGAGTGTCTGAGGTTGAACGGACGTTACGTGACAGGATGTGTGGGCCCGATGCGCAATCGGTTCTTATTTTAAAAATAAATACGAGTTGTGAATAGTACAAAATATTTTTACAATTAGGTAACATTGCTTGAGATCTTCAGAATAGATTTCTCTTGCTGCAGGAACTACAATCACTCTCTAGATCTTAAAGGGGATATTTTCTATAAAAAAATCTCACAAGTACATATAATGAAAATATTTAGCAGAGTTGAACCAGTGCGGTGGTTGCTCAAATTTTACATATCTGATATTAAATTTTCCATCGATTCTAGCCGAGATATTTTCGCCCCAGCGTTTTTGATATTTCGTTTTCCGTCAAAAAAAAAAAAAAAAATACTGAACCACCTTTGATGATCTCTTAAGAAAAGTAGTCGCGAAAGGCACAAACAAAAATGTTTTTTTTATTGTTGTCTGCCTTGAGCGCATCTCTTTGCGTCACAGTGTCAATAACAGAACCTACCAAATCTCAATATTTTCTGCCAACCACGAACGGGCTTCAATACTACACAGTCGAGCAAGTTCGCAAGCACACAAGATCGCGGCTCGCACTGCGATCAAAATCAAATCGTGAAATTCTAGGTACAACCAAAATTACGATTTTTCCAACACACAAATTCCTAAAGTAATGTTTGGATTAATCTAAAATAACCGAATACTAGCTAACAATAAATAGCGAGGAATCGTTTTAACCGGCGCACTTCACCCTGTTTGTTCTTCCCCATTCCTTCCTTCCTTTCTTTCTTCTCCCTTTCTTTCTCCCTGATTTGAGTTTAACTACGATTTTAGCTCATAACTTCCTTTAACCACTAGTCAACTGACTATCATCGATCAATTTGACCCCGAGTGGTACTGTTATGTCAAAATAATCAGACGTCAAAAATGGCTAAAAAGGGTCAGCCCATACAACTCCAGGTCGAAGTAGCCACTGACGAAGAATGGGATAAACTGCTTACTCGAGATGGTCTGATTATAGTTGACGTGTACTCAGGTAAAATAATTTGAGAAAACATTTTACATGTTTGCGTGCCCAAAATTCTTAAGCGGGAACTCCATTACACATAGAAGCATTCGTATCCGACGGATTCGGAAATTGGAAATATAGAACTATACTAGTTTATACATATTATTAAACGATTTCAGACTGGTGTGGAAGTTGTCAAGGTATGTCTCCTCACTTGAAGAAAATTAAACTTGAAGTTGGAGGTGACATGCTCCACCTAGCTATAGCAAAGTCTGACCATATCACGCCGTTGGAAAGATACAGAGGCAAAAGTGAACCTACATGGATGTTTATTTCTAAAGGAAAAGTGACAAATCTGATGTTTGGTGCTAATTCTCCTAAGCTATGTCGGCTAATACTGCAGGAGCTTAAAAAGGTGCTTGACCCGAATAGATCGTAACAGCCCGTTGTAACAGCTACAGGCGCCTTACGCATTTAGAGGACAATATGATACAAGTTATACCGAGGGACCCATTATGAATGCATAAAAAAGTACTACATCAAGCTCATAAAAATAATGATAATTGGTCAAGTATGAATTAATATGATGTCGCTCGTTTCTTAGAGATAGGGTGGGTGTTAACTTTTTTGCCGACCCCGTAGTATCAACACTGTACTACTCCACAAGCCATCTATATGGTATAATCATAAAGACATTTCGATTAAACACATCCTTTCCAAAATAATTGAATTTAAACATTCTATCAATGGCCCAAAAACAGTTCACTGGAATGCAGTAATGAATATTTGACCACCCATCATTGTTAATGTTAAGACTTTTACACAACGTTTAGTTCTTGTGGAAATAGAAACAATTTTATCTAGTAATACATAAAGCCAAACATTAAGATAGTCGCGACTTAGGTCCAGAAAAATCTGAGATACCAAATCTAGCCCCGCTGTAACGATTAGGTGAGAAGACCGACGTGCGCTGTGTAGGTAAGCCAAGCTGTTTGCTTCCAAATCGGCATTGGAATTGCACGTTCCTATAACAGGCAAGGGCTTGCGCCTAGAGTTACTTATTTCGTGCAAAAGATATTTATAGTAGCGTCATCGCAGTGCCCATAGCATTTATAGGCAACATGTGGCAGGGCGGTGCTTGAAATATCACAGCAAACAAACAGTGAGTACCTTTATTCATTTTTTACTGTTTGGCAGCTGTTTTACTATGCATTATGTTTTTGTTATTTCAAACATAGTTATTTCTGAAAAAGAGTCCCAACCTTCAGAAAATCCTTTATATCAGGTATTCATAGCCATTCTTGATGTATTTTCAAGCTAGCTATTTGAGGGATTAGTAAGGAAATTAATGCAGAAAACCTTTTTCGCTTAAGAGTAATCACTGCATTAAAATTTTAAATGAAAAGTAACGGAACGAAAAGCTAGTCAATCCTGACTCCACTTCTATTCACAATTAAAATTCGTTGAATTGAACTAAATTGAAATAGGAAGAAGCAATTCAAGCTGGGGAAATCACACGTGAAGAAGGCCGTGAAGTGACAGAATTATTCGAAGAAGAACAAGCCAGATATATCGAAATTGAAAAAAAAGCTGCTGCTAAAAGGCAGAAAGAATCTGAAAAGAGAGCAAAGGAACTGTTCGAACGTAGAACAGCAGAAGCTAAGCAAATTATCGAGAATGTACAAATGCTGGGTACAATGATAGTACTGCCAAACGCAAGGCAAAAGTATGCCGAGATTGTTACTGAAGTGTTGCATGATATTGGCCTGATAGTTGTACAATCACAGAAGGTACCATTCCTATTGACACTGACAGTATCCCGTAATGTGTCTAACGTGTGTATCAGTAATACTATTTCCTTTATTCAGTTCCAATTTACTGAAAGCTCACTGGAAGAACTATTCTATTTTGCACCGGAAATAGAGTTCAATGAAGCCACTGTAGCTGACATGCTTCAGCCCGAGCACGAAAGCCTTATCTGTCTATTGAAGCCTTCAAGAGGATCCACTGTAGAGGATGTTCATCCAGCAGTCTTGGAAATGGTTTACGGCCCGACCCTGAACCCTCCTGGAGGCAAAGACTCGTTGTATGAGAGGTTAAAGCATGAGGAGGAAGATGAAGAAGGAATAACTGAATTGACTGGTACGATCGTCATGTTCTCTATGGCCAATAATCATTAAAAAAATGGCTCTATACTTCTCATGATTTCGTTTCAGCTGATACAGAATTACTAAAGAATCAGGAAATTTCCTTATGAAAAATGGCTTCGGCTAAATTTGTTGAAATTCCGCATAAAGATACCCCATCCTTCACCCCCTACGGAACCCAGAGACCCCGAAGTAGATGTTACTGATTGATATGGGAGGGTTTCTCAAAGACTGCCCAATGCCCAAAAATAGATTGACAGTGACCTTGACGGTTATAATCAAGGACAGGTAAATTTTTAAAAATCGTACATCCTACTTTTCACCAGGAACATGGACAGAGCGAAACACCTACTTTCCTGTTTTATAGAATTTTGCCACTTCTTGTCACATTTTACACAAGCAAAGCAACAAATCCTTCCTTTCTATTCGATTTGATATTTGAGTGATGTGATAAGTACTGGATCACAAAAACTGGTAAGTTTTTTAAATTGACTTTTAATCATTGTTGATAAGCATTAAAGTTCTCATCCGTTAAGTTCTTCCAATATGTGCCTTTACCTCTGTTTTACGAGGCGTTTCTCATTTCTTGAAAAATAATCTCAAATTCTGACTCATTCCTACCTTAATGAATGTTACAACTAATTACATTACTAGGCACGAAAAATGACTTGACTGGCCATAATCTTCAAGGTCACGGTTAAGGTCAAATCCTTGTTCACCATTGGCCACTATGGAATAAACCCTAACAACAGTTATGTTACTTCCTCTCTGTCAACATCACATGTTGGGTTTTAGAAATACTCACTCACACATGTCACTAGATGTTTGCTTTGTCCATTTTCCTGGTGAAAAGTAGGATATACGACTTTAAAAAGCTGACCTGACCTTGACCATAACGTTTTAGGTCAAATCCATGATCACTATTGGCTAATCTGGGAGAAATCTCAACAGCAGTATGTTTTACTTCTTCTCTAATAATATTATTTTAAGACTTATGTTGTCCTCCCATATCTATTAATAACCTCTACTTTTTGTGATGTATGTACATTTTGTACATGTCATGTAATATCCAAAAAACTAATTGCCGTATCGTCAATTGTAGGAATGACTGACGATTTTTATAGTATTACCTACCCTTCAGAAAGTCAGAGGTATTTCTAAATTTCTACTGTTTCGAGTCAGCGGTCTATTTTGAGGTTATATTTTCTTTTTGAATTCTAAGAAATTTCAGGCTGATATAACTTGATTCTTATCATCTGTTTTATGAGCCTGAAATTTCTTAAGACTCAAAAAGGAAACATAACCTCACTATAGCGTTGACGCTGACACGAACAGTAGAAATCTAGAAATACCTCAGCCTTTCTGATTTATTGAAAAGGCGTCCTACATTTTTTTCTATTACAATATTTCCTCACTAGTTGACGTAAATATATATATATATATATATATATATATATATTTACGTTTATATATTATATATATCTATATATATATATATAGATATCTATGGGAGGGGAACAAACAGGCTTATTGATTTACTGTCTATGTTCAGCTAAGTTCTGGAGAAGTCCAAGTCCAACCATAGGAAGCTTATGATGTATACGAGTATAGAGCGTCACCACTTAACTAGAATCAGCCTGTATAGTTTCCGAAACCTCAGACACATTGTCAGGCTCTCGTCATTGTTCTTAATCAACTGTGGAAAATTGCGTCTAAGGACTTCTAGAGAAGCTTTGCAGTTGCAGATGGCAGATGGCTGATCAATTTTTTTTCGGTCATAAAGTGTTCGTCGTAATTGATGGTCTTCTCTCTTCATTCTAAATGAATCACACTGATATTTCACAGGAATCAGTTTTGGTTAGTTAAAACTTACTATTTTTTTAATCTTTTCATCTTTTACTTCCCACACCTACTGACGAGAAAAAAATTTAATCGCGAAAAATTTCGAAAATGAGATATGTTTTTTGGTTGCTATTTGATATGTACATCACGAGAAAACACTCATTTCATTCGGTCTCTCTGTTTGTCTGACGGTCTGGAAATCCGTGTAGTGGCGGCGGAGCTAGGGGCAAAAACACGAAAAAGATAAAAATCTCTCATGTTCTGTTTTTAGACGTCCCAGAGGCTCCTGATCACCCCAGTAATTTTATCAGTACATATTTCACACATTAAAGATCCGACAGACCCTTGCAACTTTCCTGTAGCTCACCTCTAGCGAGGGAGCACGTGTGGATGTGATATGCGCACATTCTGGCACCTCCTCAGACATCTGCAGGGTGGTACCTCCACGCTAGATTGTCTGAAACCATCTACCAGCTACGGACAATCACTACATCCATACTCAAGACAAAAATACTCTGGATGGAATTCGAACCTACGCAGCTTACGGCAACTAGTTTAGTAGGCGCACAGTAGGGTATTTATTGGGTATTAGTGCTCAGTGTTTATTTCATTTTAGGCATTTGGGCTCCCCACACCGACTTTCTGTACGCCACCGTGCTAAGAATGTTCTTTCCCAAGTACTCAGCGGAGTACACCATTCCAGAACCAGAACCCACACCTCCGTACATCGCCATGGTGTTCGATCAGAAGAAGACGCACGATGTCATGCACGTGATGGCGCAGTACCCGAACGAGATCATGCATTATGGGTTCTTTACGTCTGAGGTACCTTCCAAAACGGAGTTGGTCGCTAAGAGTGTGCGCAAGCTGGATAAGGTGATAGATAAGAGGACGTTTAATGAGAAGATGGTGCTGCAGGTAAAGGAATCTGTTTCTAGATAGAGTTTTAGATGAGGTTATACAAGGTGGATAGCTAAAATGTCACTTGGAGCTCATTAAGTGCCTTCTTGAGTCTCGCATTCAACGTTTTCCATTCGACAAAATCTCGCGAAGCTAAGAAGATGCGACAATGAATGATGCGTTTGACAAAAGGGCAAATCACAAAGTAGCTTGGAAACACTTTCTTTTTTTCGTTATTGGCCGCCTTTTTGTAGTACCCGTCTTAAAATCACACGAATTAGCAGAAGCGACAGCACAGGGAAAGCATAAAAATGAAACTCCAGTGTCATATATGAGAATATGTCGCATGCGAGACTCGAGAGCAGACCCCTGGAACATTCGATATTGTGTTGTTATACACAGTATAGTAAAATCAAAAAACAGCCTAATTATTTAAACATTTTTTAATTAACGGATATAACTTCCCAGAAACATTATTCTTGAGGCACTATTTACGGGGTTTAAAAAATCAGTAATTTGCTTTAAGCTAACATCTGAACTCATAATTTTGCCAAAAATAGATGCATGCACAAATTTTTTTTGATAAACGTCAAAATTCACGGTCAGAAAAGGTAATAAAATGCCTTCTACCACACTCATTATACAAATATTTTATTTTCAAGAACAAAACTGTCAAATGTCAAAATGATCTGAAAAAGCATTGTTCTATCAGGTCTCTAAGAAAAAAAGTGAATGCATATTTGCCTTGGCTCAGCTCACTCCAATCTACATGTCCCCAAATGCCGAAGAAGGTGAAAGGGAATGCCAGTTATTCTTCCCTGAAGGCTATGCCGATGATCTCAATGAAGAAGATTTTGCGTACGATGAGCTGGATTCTCTTACTGTACAAGAAGAAGAATCTATAGAAGAAGGTGAATTGATGAATGTTGAAGGAGATCTTGTAGATGAGGAGGAAGTGTCTGAAGGAGAGTCTGAAGAAGAAGATGAAGGAGATGAAGAGGTGTTTGATGACTTATTTGGGTTCGATTAGTAGCCTTTTTATGAAGGAGTACTATTTTGTACCTTATTATATTTTTTATACGAATAAAATATACAGGATGTCCAGAAATAGAAAGATAATCCTGCAACTCTAAAAAGGTCACTTCCAAAGTCTTCTAGTTTTCGAGATTTTCAGCATTTATTTAATCCTTCATCATTCCTATAAATGGAATGTTTGGACCCGGTTGGTCATAATCAAGCATCTCATTCTACCCAATATTGTTTTCTCTTAAGATGGCAAAAACCCTCATATGAATCATGCCAAAGTCTAAATTTTTAACTTTGATGCCCTGTACTGTGAAAGAATCAAGCATGATAACTGCGCCAATTATTCGAAAAATTGGTTGGTTATTGGACATTTTGAATATTATAATAATAATAAGAGTAATGATAATAATAATAATAATAATAACCCTGGACCACTGGACCACTTGTAAAGATTTGGGGTTGCCTGTGACTAGCAAGTACTGCGAGCACGTCCTAGAAAAAGTACTGAGTCCAACAAATCCAAGCAAATCGGCCTGATATTGTAATTCACAACAAACAACAGAAGACCTGCCTTCTGCTAGATGTCGCACAGTACCTGATGACTCAAACGTGCTGCTGAAGGAATCTGAAAAGATCTGCAAATATAAAGTAGAGATCGAGATCAGTTGAATGTAACATTTTAGAACTAAGACTATACCCATAGTAGTGGGCACCCTAGGAGCCAGTGAAATAGGTCTAAGAAACTACCCTCAAATGATACCAGGCCGGCCCAGGGAAACTGAAATCCAAAAGATTGCATTATAGATCACCGTACTTATCCTAAGGAAAGTGGTAGGGTAAACATCTCAGAGCTTCTGTCGAGCTCCGTGTTTACACCTGACAACCGTCCAGACGAGAGGAAACAAACAACACCAAAAAGATAATAATAACCAGTTATCATGACTCAAAGGAGGAAGAGGAATCCCCAGTGTGGTGTCCAAAGATTAGCTGCAAATTGATAACATAAGGAAATATTTTTTGGAAAAGGCGACAAGTAGCAAAATGCACCAGGCACTAGTTGACAGGGAGAAGGTCATTATCCCACACCTAGCCAATCCAGCTCTCAGTTTATGCGCGATGGTGTAGTCCTCCTCTGTACTGATCGAGAAATGGAAATCCAATCTGTAGAACGCGAATTGAAGATCAGGAAGTAGATATCAAAGCACCCCAAGAATGACTACGATCCAGTAATCTGTTCGTGGAGACAGAGGGGTTTGTGATGGCTATACAAGACCAGGTGCTGCCTACGAAAGTCTACAGGAACCGAATAATGGGGGAAAATATAGACAACATCACATGTAGAATCCGTGGAGATAAAGACGATAACCTAGAGAATCATCGCAAGTTGTTCCACATTTGCCCCAAAACATCATCTAGAAAGACACAACGACGAGCCAAATTTAATCTACTTGGAACTGGTCAAGCGTTACCTCAATAAAATAAATCTGAGCCATACCTACTGTCGCTGCACACCGCTAGCAGTTAGAGAGACTGGGTTACACAAAATGTATTGGAATCGGAATTTCACAACCCTACTGAGCGAGGGCCGTGGCAAATGCTTGTTCCGGAGGTTGTTGTATCCAGTATACAACTTCTTCCCGTCCAAGTGATTGTGCACGCGTTAAGGAATACCTAAGTACCGACTGCCGGGTGGCGGTACAAGTCCGCCAACGGGCCACTTTAGGTCTATTTAACATCACTAACACGTAAGAAGAAGGTGGTAGACAAGGACCATTCAACCGAGGCAGTACCACCGGCTAGCTTTTCCCAGGGTGTCTTATAAATGTCCGCATGTTTCCACACCTAAGCTATGCAGTCGGTTATCTACCAAAACAAAGAAATTAATGATGATGGATCCCTCGCGCACTAAGAACTCCGGACGTAAACTCACTCCACTCTCGGAATGTCCGGGTGGAGGGTGGGCTCGAGGGAACAACATCGAAGACAAAATTTGTTTTTCGAACATCTGCGGGATCAACAGCAACATTGATGCTGTTCATCACTACCTGCAATCCAATCGTCCCGCCGTGCTTTTCTTGGCGGAGACAAAAATCTCAGAGACTGCACCGAGTAACCATCTCAACTTCCCAAACTACGAGGTGCACTCCAATCTGAGAAAGAACGGGGGAGTTGTGGCTTTTGTCCGCAGCAGTCTTTCCTGCTCCAGGGATCTTTCTTTGGAATCAGACCGGAAGGACATTCTGTGGCTTCGCCTCAACTCCAAATCATCACCCAAATTTATTTGCTGCCTTTATCGCTCTCCCTCGAACCATAACTGGGATGACCTACTCGAATACCTCGCCGTCCAGATCGACTTCCTGAACATCAATCACCCCGCTTCAGAGGTAGTTCTTCTCGGTGATTTCAATGCCCATAATGAGCTATGGTTGGGCTCAAATAAGACCGATGCAGCAGGTCGTGCAGTCGAAGCGTTCGCTCTTACTCAAGGGCTGACCCAGCTGGTGACGAGCCCTACTTTTTTCCCCCGCGTCTCGTCCCACGCCAGTAGCCTGCTGGATCTCTTTCTGACCACGCATCCTGTCTCTTACAGCACTGCTGTCCTGTCCCCCCTGGGTAACTCAGATCCTTGGAGTGATGTCTGTTTCACTGACGCGGATGCGTCGACTGTCTGTTCTTCAATAACCGAAATTATCCACGTCGGAATGAAGGAATACATCCCTCATACAGTGAAAGTTCCTAAACCAGGGTCCAACGGCTGGTTCAACAAATCGTGTGACACTGCTCGCCAGCAGAAGATCAAGGCACACAGAACCTACTTACAAAACCCCACTGTAGAGAACCGACAAGCCGACGTCGAGTCCAGAAACAAATATAACGATGCGGTTCGCAATGCCAAAAACCAGCATGATATAAAAGTTAGGCACAGGGTAATGTCGCAGCGCAATAGCAGTCGGTCTTTCTGGGCGCTGGCCAAGCAGATTGAAAAGAACTTCTCACACAGTAGCCTTCCACCACTTACGTGTCAGGATGGAACTATTGTATTCGACTCAAAGGCCAAGGCAGAAGTGCTAGCCAAGATCTTTGCTGCCAACTCCACCATGGACGTCCCCACCAACGCCCAAGTGCCGTCAATTCAAAGGGTTCCCCACACTATGCGGGAGGTAACATTCAGGCATAAGACCGTAAGACGAGTGCTCTTGTCGCTCTACATCAACAAAGCCGATCTCTGCCGCTGAGCTGGAAAAAAGAAGACTAGCGACGACTTCTTCTCTGACAAGAGACCTGGAGGCTATCACTGCTTGGGGACGCAGCAATCTTGTACAGTTCAATGCTTCCAAAACACAGTACTGTACTTTGACGAACAAAAAGCGTTCTAGCGCTCACACAGTTTCGATGGACGGCCGAGTTCTACCAAAGAGCCATTCATTTCGGCTGGTCGGAGTCCAGATCACCGAGGATCTGATCTGGCACGAACACATCTCTTCAATAGCTGCAGCTGCTGGGAAAAAGCTAGGGTATTTGTTTAGGGCTAAGAAGTACTTTTCTCCGCATGACCTTCTCACTCTATACAAGGCCCAGATAAGGCTTAGCCTCGAGTATTGCTCACACATTTGGGGTGCTGCCGCCCCGACTACATTGTCCATGCTCGATGCTATCCAGAGGAGGGCGGTCCGACTGATCGATGACTCTTCTGTAACAGACAGTCTCGGGACTCTTTCGCACCGGCGGGTCGTCGGCGATCTAGCTCTTTTCTATCGCTACACCAACGGGCTTTGCTCCTCAGAGCTCTCTTCCATGATGCCGCCGCGCGATGTGCCTGCCAGACAGACCCGCCTGACTTCGGCGTCCCATCCTAACCGTGTCAAACTTCGTACATCCAGAACTGGCCGATACGACCGCTCCTTTGTCCCGAGGGTGTCTAGATTGTGGAACAATCTACGGGAGAAAGCTTTTCCCAGTTCTACTAACCTTAGGTAGTTCAAAAATCGTATTAACAAAATTTCTTTGGGATCATCATAGCAGCCGCGGTGTTCCGGCATTTAGGCTTCTGGGCTTTTGCCTGCGCGGCTGTTTCGATATATAAAAAAAAGTATATAATACTGACTTTAAAATAACAAAAGACAACATACATTATAGATATTGCGGATCCGCTCCCTGTCAACCTTCAGCGTACATACCTACTCAGAAACAAATCATCAAGCGTCTACCGCTGTCAGAAGAAATAAAGCGGATGTGAGAAATCGATACAGTTATAATTGTACCGTTAGTTATTGGCACCTCAGGTGAGGCTCTTAAGAAGTTACACACAAATCTTGAAAAACTAGCTCTTGGCCAATATATTTCCAAAAAAATTCAGTAAAACTCGACACGGTAACCTGCAAAATTGATAGTTGCCTTAAAATGGGTTACATCCTTTGATGTAAGCCTGAATCAAGCATAGAAAGCCCTCTCAAAGGAGTTGATTGAATGGATGAATAATAATAATACCCAGTTATTATTATTATTATTATTAACTCATACGAGAAAACAGTAAAACAGTTCGAAATGCTGTTAAATCTCAATACTTATGACACAAGGTTTCCCTGAGCCTAGCGATAAATGAGTATATGACACACAGAACTTCAAGGCTTGTTCACAACCAAATAGTCAATATTGTAACATTTGTTTATGCATTTCTGAATTAGGATCCTTAGATACAGAGAGTTTATGTTGCATCTATGCACTTTATGAAGAGCGTGAAGTTTCCATCGAGCTATCATAGCAGACTTCGAAAATTCGGTTTCTTAAAGAATTCTCCAATGCGATAACGTTCATTAAATATAGTGTCCTTTTTGGCACATAAAAAAGAGCTCTATGAATGAAGACTTGCGTTTCAAGAATCATATAACTAATTCTTTAAGGAGAGCCTTCAGCAACCTAAATAACCATCTATGGCTACAGAGATATGTTAAATATCAATACCAAAATTTTATTGGCAGATCCTCTTGTACTACCACATACTAATTTCTGTGTTATTCTTTACAACAAATGTATAGATAATAACGATGTAAAAAAATACAAAAAGTTCAAAACTCGTGCTTAAGGCTTGATTTTCATAGTATTTTCTCTCCTTGAGAAAGGCTGGGGTAATTCTAGATTTCTACTGTTTTTCAGGCTATATAACAGAAGATATAAATCAAAAGCATGAACAGTTTGTTGCAAATGGATATTTGTAACATAACCTCAGAATAGAGCTCTGACACGGAACACAAAACTATGAAAATCAAGGAGGTCATAAAGCCGTCCTGCAATTGTAAGAACGACTGACTTATTCATGGAATTCGACGTAGAAAAATTATTTAACATAAGTTAGTCGCAACAAACTGATTAAATATGACAGACTAGAACTTCATACCGCATTCTTTTATCATAAGGCTTTGACCATGAAAACCACTTCAAATGTATATAACAAAATTACCGTTCGCCAAGATGTAGACAAGGTAAACATAAGCTCTCTCTGAAAGATCCTTTTCTTATGTCTCCAAAACACATAAAGCTGCCCCTCAATACTTAAAATCCAAATCTCTAGAACTCTAGATTCTTTCACGAAATTCTACTACAGGTATCTGAGATCTCGCTATTGTAATGAATCATGAAGTGGACTGAATGGCTTAATTTTACCCTTTGAATAATCTCAATATGCACCTTTACGTATATGGTTACATCTACAAATCTCGCATTGTATCTTTCCCTTTGTTGTTTCTGTGAATTATTTCTTTCTTTTATATCTTATTATTCTTATATGTTCATATTTTAAGCTTGAATTTATATAAGATAGTTAAGTGCGTTATGTAGAATTAAGTGTAAGACAAGCTAGTCCCCTAGGAATGAAAGCTGAACTTGGTTTTTTCCGGGTAGCAGTTCATATCTTAGTAGGTACCTTGCCAACAATAAATAAAGATTATTATTATTATTATGATACTATGGATTATATTTTTTCACTTCAGGCCTAAAATTCGATGTTTCTTTTTGATCTCAACACCTTAGTTACGCTTGAGTGGTGCACCAGCCAACTGACGAGGAAAGAACTAATGAATGGTGGTGAACGTTGAACGAAGAAGTAACAGGACCTTTCTCATACGCTTCAAACCTGCGGCGACACATGAGCTATGAGCGGTGCTCCGGTCGGTCCGCGCGATGGCGGGTGGGTCACATAGTGATGATACTCAAGGGGGTGCAGAGGGGGAGGCTACGGCCACCTCCTACGTGTCGTAGGGGGCTGATCGTTCCTCGTTGCATACTACACATCGTTCTCGGCCCACTCATGTGCTTGCTGGCTGGACGACTTTGCGCGCCGCTCAAAAAATTTGAACGGAAACCACGTGCACCCCCGTATTTTGTGAGCACGCAGTTTTTCCGCGAGCTTTGATTATCCGAAAATATGTTGTGAAATCTAATTCGTGCCGAATTTTAATTTTGGCATCTTGAAAAATCTACATGTGGATCCTGGATCGTGGTGAGCACGTTTAAACAGTTTCATGGAGTTTACAATTTCGGTTATCAATAAAGGAGTTGCTTGTGGTTCAGTGCGCGACTCCGGTTCGGTTAATTTGGTTCTGAAATTCGTGACTGTGATTGAACGTCTCTGCTGCAAGCTACGAAAAGTGATTTTGGAATACATAAAGTTGCTTTAAAGCACGAAACATGGCATTCCTTATTTGAAAACACGGCTCATGAATACTGAGCACATGACATGGACTAATCAAGACACCCTGTAACTTAAAATAGCTACAATTTTAAGTCTGTGATTGTGATGCGTTCAATGGATTCTAGATAGAGAGTTGCTCTAGTAACTTCAAGATCCATCAGTAACACATAAACGCTTTTGAGGGCCTTGTCAAAAATTAGGAGTAGCACACATTTACCAATTGGATTGATAGCTGTTCAATAACTAAAACCTAAAAATAAGTAAGGATCATAGGGAAAATCATAAATAGTACCTATGGTAGGAGAAGAGGAAATTTGTATAACAAAAGTGATGAATGGGCTTATCTTCGATTTAATATTGAGCTTTGAAAACAACTTCATGGAAGTCGGTGGATAGACAATTTCAACAATAGTACCATTTGAAGAAGTTCAGAATCAATGATGAAGCCTTCTAGCGAATTTTGCAACCTGTGATTCCAGTTACCCTGTAACTTCAGTTAAACTTGCAGAACTTGAACGTCTAAGCTTAAGTAAGTATAATTATACCCTTTTTAATCTCTATTAAGAACTATATCATATGTCACTAAATATAATTTTTTTCGGAGATAGATATATAATATAACAACTGATCATTTTATTGGTCTAAAGCTCTGTTGTTGTGGTATTTCTTTGTAGTCAAAAATGGCATGTCAAGCAATTTAAGTAATTAGTTTACAATTTACATAAACAGCATTCTAACTTCATCGTCGGTCAAGTGTTTAGCTTTGCAGATGATACGGTAGTCCTGTATGGGAATGTATTGGGAAAATGTAAAAATTAAAGCAGAGCGGGATCTAGGAACTATTCTTGATTATTTTGCTCATAAACTTTTAACCGTGAGCTATGAGAAAACATTCTTTATGCCTTTTTCTAGTACAGTACGTTGTCTACCTCAGTATGAACAACTTTTAATAAATCAAAGTATATCTTTAACATCTGTGAAAACCTATATATACTTAGGTGTCACCATCGATGACCACTTGAGATGGGATGTTCATATAGCTAACATTACAAATACCTTACGACAACTCTTATATCGCTTTAAATACTTAAAACATCTCATAGACTACTTGCACCTGAAAATGTTGTATTATTCATTAGTTGAATCACGTCTACGATAAGCTATTTTGAGTTGAGGAAGTACCGCATATTGTCATTTGCGGCCTCTGGATATACTGCAAAAAAGAATGTTGAAAGTATTATCTGGCAAAAAAATTGCTTATCCTTCTGATAAATTATTTTCAGAGACTAGAGTGCTTGACCTAAGGCAACTGTTTCTGCATGAATTAATTCAATTCATATACAAACACAAAAACAACTTCAATAAAACTAGCCATGCCTATTGTACTAGATATAAAGAAAATGAAAACATAAAAATACAAACTTTTTAAAGAAATGTAAGCTTGCGATGCCACACCTACCTATCATGTAAAATTTATAATTGTTTGCCATACATATACCGTATGTATGTTGATAAAATAAACTCATTGTCTTTGATAAAATCTTTATTTAAAAAATATATTTTTTTAATTGGTAGACAAGAGACGAAATCTAGTAGAAATTATTTACTAGAAATCGTACTACGCTAGTATTACTCTTCCTCCCCCTCCATATTTCTGTAGTTAGTGGAATAAACTTTCTTATATAAGTGCTACTCCTCCTTACCTTCCATATTTACAATGTGCTTGTGGTATAAATCCTGCTCTAAGCAAAATTTAATAACAAAATTATATCAAAAAAAATATCTGTCCGTGCACAACCAACTATTTTGATTTCAATGGGTTTTACAATGCAATTTAAAAATTTTCTGCGACTTATAAAACACGTTAACTTAAGATTATTTTGTGAAAGTCAGGTATTATGTTTTATTTTACGTTTATTATTGTACTGAAGTGAGCATTTGTATTTATTAACACATTGTATTTTCGGGAAAAATAAACGTATACTCAACTCAACAAATATGTACAATCAGTAAATTGAGAAAAAATTTGGTGCTAACCAGTTTGTATTTTATATAGAAAAGATAAAATTAACTATCTTCATCCATACCTAAAAATTTTCGCTTCCGTGGTGCCATATGGAAATATGTCGCTGGAAGCAACTTTTTAGATGCATGTAACTGTTTTTGTTTATTCAAAAGCCTTCCGATGTTTGCATCTAATCGTCTCAGGTTTTGTTATGTAGAATTTCAGAAATACCGTCATCTGGCGTCAAACGATGAACACTCAGTGGTGCCTGGTCCCGTTACCTATACGAGTATATATACTGAGTGACAAAAAAGAGTAAACACCTACGTATGTTTATCCGATTTTAATAATTCTTGGCACATATGTTCAGTGTCCCTTGCTAGTAAAATTGAATTTTCAGCTTGATTCGTCAACTGACTGCAGAAGCTGGTTCAATAATGTGTTGAGGTTTCACGATTTCTTACACACTACTTGACACGCCTCTGCATCGTGCTGATAAGGTGGTCGACAACCTGTGGGGTATCCCATTCCAGGCTACTGCCACTTCGTGAGCAAGAGCTGCTAAAGTCTGTGGAGGGTATTGCAAATTCAAGAGCCTGCGACCTATCATGTCCTAGATATGTTCAATTGGAGATAGGTCAGGCGATCGTGGTGGCCAAGGTAAACGGTTGATGCGATGTTGATCCATGAAGGCTAATGGTGCTCTGGCACTACACGGTCTGGCATTGTCTTGCTGAAAAATCGGGTTTTGGATGGTGTTTACGTATGGAACAAGATGAGGCTCCACTACTTCCTGAATATAGCGTCGGGCTGTCATATTTCCTCTGGTGAAAATTAGTGATGATCTGCTACCATAAGCAATAGCACCCCATACCATAACTCCCACGGTGTGGTGAATGTGACGCTCTCTGTCAAATTGTGGGTCATATCTTTAACGACGTCGCCTTCTCACTCTTGCCCGACCATCGTGCATCCCCAGACAGAAGCGGGATTCGTCTCTAAAGACCACCTGATTCCATTCCCGGTCCCATAGTATTCGTTCTCTAGACCAGAGCAAACGGTTGCGCCGATGTGCAGCTGTGAGAGGTAGCACCCAATGTGGGCGATAAGAAAAAAGGCCAAACTGTCGTATTCGGCGATATACCATACGTATACCAACCATTCTTCCATGCTATTCAAACCACTGATTAGCGATGGCTCGAGTACTACTGAATCTTAACCGGCGGTGTGCTCCCTCTAGGACGTCCAGAACCTTTCGCTCGCTGTCCTCGGCCTTCCTAGGTCCACGCTCGTTTACACTGCAGTATACTGCGTAGAGATATGTTGGTTCTTCTTGAAACTTCTCTTATCGATAGACCGGCTTCACGCAACCCGGCAATTCGACCCCTATCAAAGTCACTTAACTGGGACACCCGGCGAATCCTACGCACTCTAGGCATTTTGAGCAATCACAAAAAGGCTTCTCAATAAGCTACACCGTAAATGTACGAAAACTGAATGCTTCTTTATCACCAAACAATACACGCAGCCACCACATAAAATTATCACAAAAATCTGATCATTTTATCACTTGTTGTTCATGATAAGATAAATCGATATGTAAGAAATTCTCGAATTCTAATGAACATACGTAGGTGCTTACCTTTTTTTGTCACTCAGTATATGTCAAGCAGTGAACTTTTGAATTTAAAATGATAATATAATCATATTCTGTCAATTTTGTCATTTCAAAGATCCAGTATAGCCTGATAAAAATAAGGACCCCTTAAACATGTTTGGTATCTGGGTAGCCAAACCTGACAGACTAACAGACCGACGAGGCTTTTAACTAAGAGCAAAGGTCCACCGGACCGCTCTGACGAATAATGACGTATAGTAAAAATAAGGAAATCAGACCAAATAATTCGTATAGTTGGTAAGAAATTCCTTGAGGTTTACAGATGAACATACTAAAAGTCCTTGACTGTAGGAGAGCGCAGGCAGATTTTTTCAGTTTTTACCTAGAACTTGATAATTCCTTCTACATATCAACATTAAATTTACAACAAGTTTTGTCATATACATTTTACTGTATGAATAATGCTTTACGAGCTATATGGTATCCACATGGTATCTTACTTGATGAAAGTAAAAAACAAAATTAGCCTTGGTTCTTATTGTTACTACTAAAAACAATATATTAAAAATTAGACAGGTATCAAATCAAATCAGTCAGATCGGGGCAGTATCGGTACATGATCCTTGGCTGCTGTTGCAGATGAGGCTGCAGCTAATGCCCGCTTTTTGACAGCTGTACTTGTCCGAAAAATCATTTTTACAACGGCAGAAAATGAAATTCAATAACTTGTCAAGGGCAGAAGAATCCAGAGTCGTGATTCTCTCTAGGATTCCGTTGACTCCTCCTCCTAATTGGCCTAAATTTCACCAGTCTGCTCGTTAAAACGAGCCCAAACTCTGCGGAAAACTGTAACCTGGCTTTTTCTAAATATTTGTCCTACGGATTAAAACCATAACAGCTGTGGTTCAGTCACTTTGTATCTGAAACAGTATTTCACTCCAACAAAAAAAAAACAGATTTAGCCCTCACACCTCTTATATGAGCAACGGTTAAAATTGCAAGATTTAAGAGGTTCCGTTTCTTTTTCGTTTCCCTCCAATTTACATGGTGTCTCACAATAATCTGTCAATCTCTCAATGCGTATAGAAAAAAGTTCGTAGAAAAAATGCTCTACTACTCCAGGTAGTAACGTTCACACATGTTCTGAAAAAATATTCTTACTCGGATTTTTGCTTCATTTTGATGAGAAAGGACCACTTCTAACGAATCTGCATGTTGCCAGCCCTAAACTTTCGCCAAAAATTGTTCGCAGAACTTTTTAGCAACTTCCAAAAATTGGAATTGGAATCATTTTTTTTTAGGTTTTCTTAGGAAATTCTGAACAATAAAGGTGCTTTAGAACATTTCTCTAAAGCTTATAGTTTTCGGGATAGGTATAACCGATTCAATATTTGAAAAAGTGCAAAATATGCCACTTCGACTCCGAAAAAACGGAAATGTTGCCAAAATTTCTAAATATCCTTCAAACAGCCATTACCGAAATCTCAAAATATTGGTATTGTCACTGCAAACCTTTGTTTTTTAATTGTCAAGAAACGCGCGCCCAGCGTATACTCTGCGTGCACTATAGGTCCAGCCGCCAACTACATTTCTCTCACTCACGCGCGCGACTGACTAACACTTAAAAAGGTTTACAATAACAATATCCCCTAAAATGCTTTACATTTTGTTAATGGATGTTTGAGGAAGGTTTAGAAATAACGGCAACATAAAAATGTTCGTTCCTTCATATTGCTTTTTTGGGGTCGAAAATGGGATATTTTGTACCTCTTCGCTTATATATCGAAAACAATCATTTTAAGAAAAAAGTTCTGGGGTACCTTTTTTGGACAGAGTGAAAAAAATAAAGTTTAAAAAAATGACTTTAACAATCTTTTACTCAATTTTGGGCCTGCTTAATAATTGAAATTTTGACAGTATATAAACCTATTAGGGCCTTACTTATGGTATCAACGGAATACAATACATTTAAATCGCGATAGGGATGGGCTAGCCCTAACACAATATTGCTGATGTTTTCCACGCTGTGTAATGGCTCAATAATATTTTTGAAAGTCCTAAGGCGAATGACACGATCAATATATACTGTGTTCCGTACCATCAGTATTTCCTGATCATTCCTTCTGTGTCAGTGGATTTCCACGTAAACTTATACATAAATAATAACTGACGTCCTGGTGTGCATTCATAGCATCAACCTCTTTTAATTCTGACTTTACTCAATACGTTCATCGGTGACTGGAGTTCAGTGGTCGCAGCGTTCATGAGGTCTAGGGTTACATACCCTAGGTTGAGATTCATGACCCGCCTCGAGAAAATAAGTAATAAATTATCGACATGCGCAGGCCAGTTCACTTGGCGATAACTTTGTCATGCTAGACGTTTCATCAATTAACATAACATTACTTTCATGTAAAACGAGTGTTTTTGCAATTTATCCATCAGATACAGCATCATCGTTAGCATCAGATTCCTAAAATTACTTTTTAAGGGAGATTATGTTTATTGACTTCACCATTGATAAATAGGTCCACATTTACAAATAGCTTTTGTGCAAACAAAGAAAATGAACTTTATTTTTCGGCGATCCATCCACCAAAACAACAATAAAAAATATGAAACACGCAAGTTATCGATAATGCACTGCTTCTCATCATTACTCATTGCAACGGGTTTATTCGTTATCATAATATAATAACCCTCTACTTAAAGGATGCTCTTAAACAACCTGTCTTAACTCACCTCTACTCCAAGTCAAAATCATAAACGCAGCCCTGGTTACATGGTCAATAAATATCAAATTCCATGATAAATATGGATGGATCACAGTAAATACGTTCGTATAACATTCGTCTACTGTTCCAACTAAAAACAATGTATTTTTGTTTGATTTCGATAGATGAGTCGTTTTTGAGAAGCTTCCTGAAGTCAAATGGTGGGAACGGTGTTTGTTGAACATTTCTACTAACTTGCACATTTTTTAGAATCTCCATACTATTTTTTGTTTTAATGGTTTGAAATATTGAGACATCAGTAATGCCAATATTTACAAATAGCATTTTAATTTTTGAGCTATAATCGTGAACTGTGGAGCTGAGTTGAACTCGTAGGAACACCGAAGCCACAAAATCGAATAAGTTATGTTTCGATAGTAGATCAATCTGATTATTTTGAGAATATATCAAATACAACCATTTGAACCGTTCAGTAATAGTTCTGAACCTTTCTAATTGAATTGACCGTCTCTGTACTGGAATTTATCGAATTTATTTTTAAGAATATATTTAAAATGCACATCCAAATGTTAAAGCCTCCGATTTATAAAATAATTATAAACAGGAAAGTAGTTCGCCTATAAGCAGAATATCGATAATTTGAGAGGACAAAACAGAGCAGAAGCCATCCATTCCGACGGGAAGCCATACTATTCTGGCGTTATATTAATTGTAGGTAGTCATGGTAACCGCGACCTGAATGCCTGGAAACAAATACACAATACGAGTACGAGCAACTCGCTCATTTGAATTCTGAAAGCTTACTTTGTAATCTTCAATATTAGTTCACTTAAAATGGACCAAGCTAAAAAAAAATAGAAGTAATTCTGTTTTTCGTTATACTGAGGCGCTTAATACAAAAATTGCTAAATTAAATGTACATTTTATGACTTGTGCTATAGGAGTAAATTATTTGTGCCGCTAATATTGTGCACATATTTAGAGAACGGCTGACTATGACTGACATAATGCATTATCATTAATCATTTGGTGTAGCTAAAAAAAATCAATCAGAGGGAGTTGCTTGAAACAAAAGTGTCCTCTTTTATTTTTGTAAGTATTGTAATCACGAAAATGAGATGTTTTTTGGATATGACATGTTAGATCACGTAAAGATATGTAATTCATTTCCGTCTGTGTGTCTGTCTGCTAGTCTGCCTATTCCCTAATCCTACAACCGCCAATAATTTGAGATAAGTACCGCTCGGATATTGATGAATTTTTTGCACAATGTTACTATGCCGAGGACGAAAAAGCTTTGTCATAAAAGTTTTTTGACATTTCAGAGGATCCGGATCATTTTTTAAAAGTATTTCAGGGATACAAAAATTTGGGGTGGGAGTTGTAGGGAGGTAAGGAAGGTATATCTCAATTTTTTCATGTTAGCATACTTATACGCTCCCAACCTTGGCAATTCTGCGCACCTATTGGACATATTTCAAACATCACAGATTTCTCCGTACATTAGCTCTTAAAAACCAATATGTATCGCTTACCTAACGGTGTTTCCTATGTTGTGATCGCGTCTGACCGGGTTAGGTGTCGGGGAGAGGCTGCGTTGCCAGATGGACTACCGCTAGGGCATGGAAAGAATGTCTATGGACTAATAGTATGATTGACTTTTTACTCAGAGGGTCTAGTTTGTGCTGAACATAATCTCTCATGAACTGATAACGTCGTTGCGTGGGAAGTGTAGAATCAACCTGTTTGACGCCATTTTATACGGTGCAAAATAGATTTGTAGATTTTCAATTCTGGTGAATGTGCTCGCTAATACTTCAAATCGGTTTACTCGTAGATGGTTCTAACTCTCAGTATTTTTCGTCTATAGGTCTGAACCTATATCTGACTCTTAAATCCCAAATAAATATCGTTTAATTAGATGATAACTTCTCTAGAAATTGGGAGCGAGAGAAATAAGAAACAAAAGAATGTCAACACCCCGGAACTGTTCACGTTACTATGTTGTCATTGCTAAGAAATGGTGAAAGTTCGTAAAAATTTTGGTGAATGCATATCCTCTGGTTTAGTTTTCTTGAATGGGTATGTTCTCGAATAGACATTTTTTAACCATAAAAAACTTAAAGTTCCATAATTTTTGAGAAAGAAATACTATCGTATATACTCCAGTAGTTGTCAGCAGCCACAGGGACTCTAGTCGAAAGTATGTTTCTTTCGTTTTAAGGGCAAATGTACGGGGTTAATCTATGATCTGTGAACTATGTCTAATAGGTGCGTAGAATTACCGGAGTATACTGACATAAAAAAATTGCGATATACCCTCACCCACTCCATACAACCCCGACTCCTCAAATTTTTGCCCCTTAAAATTTAAAAAAAATTATCAGGATCTTCTGAAACATCGAAAAACGAAGTTTGAAAGATTTTTGTTTCTTACATTTTTAGTATTTTTCCGTCGGCTCTGCACCGATTTTCAAAACTAAGAAGCTTTTTCGTTCTTGGCATAGTAGTAACCTTGTGTTCAAATTTTATCTAAATCCAAGCAGAATATTCCAAATTATAACATCCAAAAAACATAATATCGCATTTTTGCTATTACAATACTTCCTCGACAGTAGGCGTGGGAAGTAAAAATAACACGAAACTTCATATAAACAGGTCCTAAAATACCCTCTTAGCGAGATGAAGTTGAAAAATTATAAAAAAATATATCTTTGGAGTAGATTAAGTAGATTAAGATATTGCAATAATATTTTTTACTTCTAGCACAGCACAGCCAATACATGCAAAAACTCTCGTGCTCGAAACTACACCAGTGGCGTAAAATTTGGAAATTCACTATAATATGCTACGAGTATATTGAAACAACTATTACCATTTGAAATAGGGTATTCAATTTTTTTTAGAAATTTTTGTCAGGCTATCCCTAAATTGCCTCTCATGTATAAGGCGTGCAATTGTTAACGATTTTTCTTCCTAGACTTTTGTGAAAAACTGCGGTAACATTCTTTGATTTGACACCCGTAATTGAACTTTTAATAGTTATTAAATTAAATGCTCGAGGACTCTACGTACAGTTATATTCATGCAGGGAGGGATAGTTCCTATTTCCCTATATTTCTGCAGTTTCCCCACTTTGCTGCGAAACCTTATTAAGCCCTTTATACAGTTCTGTCATACTTACAGGTGCGCAGGTTTGGTCCATCCCCATCCATCGAGCAGCATCCATTAAGGGGCATTCCCCTTGTCTACCTTCCGTCATGGATACCAGTTATGTGCCCAACAACCCACAGTTCGGACTGCAACTAGAGTGCAACTGGAGTGCTGGATCTCCGACCTCTGGTATACAGCAGGTAAGGAGCACGTTTCTTAGTAGCATTGTATAAGTGATCATAAATTTTTTCTGCTCAAAAGTCTAAGAGACATACACAGCGAAAAGGTTGAAAGCAACTGGGTCATGATATTGTCAAATCAACATTTTAAACCATATTCTATCACATACACCTAATTGAACTCCGCAAATCAAACGACATATATCGTTTTCCAACTATATGTGGGATTGAGTGAAACAAAATGGCGCCCTATTTGTTGTTGCGCTCTGTAATATAGTTAGAATGCGTTCATTCTAATGTGATAGTATCACAATACGGTTCAATATGAGCTTTCGAGTTCCTTTTAGGCTACTACGGCAAACCATTGTTGACTTTCCGGTTCTGCCTATGACGCCTAAGGAGGATAGAAAGACTTTTTCATCAAAATAAAATATTCTATCATCATTAATTTACAACGATCATAAAAATTTAGAGTAAATCCGTAGAACTGTCCTTAAAATATCGACTATGCTCAAGCATTTTATTCTTAATAGGCAATGTGCGTGTTTCTTTGTATTTTCTGTCGATTATTCACTTTAAGATAATACCGTAAACATATATTTCATAGAAATTTCTGTATTTTTTTAATTAAATATTTAAAAGTGCAATGCCAATGACGTTGATTTAAACGCTGCATTTTTCGCGCGATTTGCAGTAATGTCACAACTCATGGTTTGTTATTTTACCCTGTGTTTGATTAATTTGGTGTGATAATTTGCTGTCAAGTATTATAAGCTTCTATTTTATAACCTCTAAAATTAATTGAAAAACAACATGGATAAAGAACGGAAGCTTTATTCTAAGTTCTGTAGTGAGTCTATATGTAAAACTATGATACTGATGGTGTAAAATTATGAAAAGGGATAATATACCTCCAAATAGTACTCTATATTAGTTGCGAATATCATTATAACGGAAGTAGAGAACACGGAATTACCAGTATGCCTAAATATGATTAGTATTAACCTACTAAGAGAATTTTTTCCACTTTGAGGAAAGTGACGGATTCCGCATCAACCAGAACCCTTTGGAACTGGTCAAACTGATAGATTGTCAATGAATGAGACCTACAGAAAATTGGTTGTCCACTTGCCGATATAGTGACGTCACGTCAATGGCGCGTTTCGATATTTTAACTTTGCCGCGTGTTTTTCCCATTTGTTTGCAGGTGTTTATTCAGAATTCTTACTTTTTGCTTCTTCAACTTGTCATTCGTTGTGTGGAATCACATTCCTCCGAAATTACGTCCATACTTTTTAAATGAGAGTTGAATGGGAATTACTGAGTATATCTACTTAGTATTTTTTGGCAATGTTATTTTTCTAGAAAGTGTTCCTCGTTATCCCCCCTAGAGGAAAATTCAAGCACTTTCTGGCAATTGGACGATAAATCCTAAATCATTCACTATTCCAAAATTGTCTACCTCATGCTGAAAGATGTTAAATTCGAATAATGAGTGAACTTGATATCGGGCTCTGAGAATTTACTGGACAATATTATGATGATTAATTTGACAGTCAGAAGTTTCTGTACGAACAGTGGATCAGTTGTCAGTAATCGGTCCAAGCTCCCTCAGCCAACTCGTAAGGGTCTCATGTAGGCAATATAAACAGTCAGTGAGGGGTCAGTGACAGCTAACTGAATAAACTATGTCATGACCTGTCGCCGACTATCAGTTTGCTGTCAGTCAACAGGCTGTACGAACAAACCATTTGTCTTTCTCCGCGATGACGGCTTTTGACTCATGTCTGTCCATCATGGATTCCTAAATAGAACGAAGCCTTCTCATTAAGAACAATGTTAGATCATTCATCATTCCAATTTTCTCGATGGACAGGTGCGAGTCAGAGGGCGTCGTGGAGAAAGACGTAATGTCAGTTGAACTTCACGGGGACCATACTGAAGGAGTTTGGGTCGCCGATTTTGATCCTTTTTCACTTTCAGTTTTCATTAGATGCAGTATGACGACACAACTGTATACCCATGAAATTCTAGATCCTACACTTTTCCATTGCTCCAAATTAATTGCCTCAAGCTGTCCTCCTTCCTTGGCCTCCTAGATCTGCAGACCTTTCGTCCACTGAATATGTGTGTGATCTGATACGAAGAAGAGTGACCACCTTACCTCATATGTACAGTTGGCCTAGGATTCGGGCCCCAAAAATACATAATGTACATCCTCAGAGGCAACGACTGGATGAATGCAAACGCCATACGACATCGACTGATACAGCAATTATTTTCACTTTAAAATGTAATCACGAGTTCTTCTTACTTATGACTGACTGAATATTTTATTTTTGTTTTATTTTCTTTGTCACTGAGTATACCGTTTTCTAAAATGTCAAAGAAGAAAATAGTTTTATCTGTAGGTTCGCTGCTTGAGTATCTGCCCACTGTTATGGAAACGCTGTATATCATACTATACAACCCTTCTTTTCCAGGTTCCGAGCTGTACGGACGACCTTTCATCTTGTTGGAGTGAAGATATGGGGACATTTTCACTACCTTTGGATTTAGAGCCCTTACCTAGTCTTTTCAACATTTCGCCATGCAGCAACGGCACCAATGGAAGTTACAAGTGAGTGTAATACCAAATATTTTCTCTTTATGACTTATTTTGCTAATACACATTACACTCAAAGTCGATTGAACATGATTTATCTCCATCCAAAACTGCTTCGTTTGTCCGTTAAAAGGCGCGCGTCTAAGTCTTCTTTTTGGAACACATTTTTTTTCAGATATTTTTGGAGCCGAATTGAATGGACTTTGGAACGCATGTGTTTTGCTAGACGTAATTAAACTATAGCAGAATTTTCGCAACTCTTCCACCGACCCTAATTTTTCTTATTTAAAAGATCCTTTTATTTACTTAATTTTTGTTTCTTATAAAAACAAAGTTTTCGAGAAAAAAGAATGTCTTTTTAGGCTGGTTACAAAAAAATTTTCTTATTACATCAAGCGTTAAAATCTGGTACGCATCTAGTTGGCGAAAATGTGGGATGTTATGTTAGTGTCAGATTATTTTTATCTTTGACAACAAGCTTCATTAAAGTTTAAATTAATAAGTAACGTCTGAGTTTTGAGAGAAAGAAGAATGTGTTTACTTATGACTCATGTGCTATCCGACTTGGTATGATAAATTTGAAAAATACATATGTTTATGCTGAAGAATATCCGTATGTAGTTTCAGAAAGATATTTTCAATAGGAATTTCAAATTAACGTTTGGGTGGGTATTATTGGTAACTTTTTAGTTAGTCCATGTAGGTTGCCTGATAAATTATACGGAGATAGCTATATTCGTTTTCTATAATATGTCTTACCTGCATTATTAGAGAACTGCCTCTGAGTATAAGAAGAGGCACGTCTTTTATGCATGATGCGCCACCCCTCTTTGCGCGTGCTGTAAGAAATTACGAGAAATTTGTTGATAGAGGCTGAATAAGCTCCTATACAATGACCACATCGTTCCACGCATCTTAATCCTTCAGATTTTTTACATGGGAGCATTAAAAACAACGGTTTACGAGGTTCAGATAGACAACGTCAATCAACTATGGGACATGATTCAAAATGCTGCAAGTACATTAAAGATAATGATGACATCCTAGAGAAAACTTTTTTGCGCCATGTTGTTATGTGCAGGAAATAAAGTGAGGGTCATATTGAACTCCTTTTTTGAAAAATTCGCACTTCTGCCTGTATTAAATGAAATTGTAATAAGTAATATCTTGTTTATTTTCGCTAAGTACACTTTAAGAATTAATAAGGCGCATGGGAACTTCTTGATGCAACTCATTTTTTTTCTTCATAACTATCCGAGATGGCCTATTTTTTAGAAGACAAAAGATGAAGTAAAAGTAAAAAATCTGCCATAATTTATGTAGGGGTGGGGATAGTTTTCACCCTATTCAAAACGCTTATGATTTTTTCGTAAAAGTCAACTATCAGAATGTCTAGCAAAGCATATGTGTTCCAAATATTATTCAAATGGGTTCTTAAAATATCTTAAAAAATGAAAGAACATTTTGACGCCATCTAACGGAAAAACGAAGCATCTTTGCATAGTAGTAGATCATATCCAATCGACTTATATTGAGTCTAAAAATACGTGATATAGTTGTAGTCATTGTTAGGTGGTTACATCATTCACGCCATATTAAATAAGTTAACAGATCGAGTCTACGTACCATGGGCGGAACACTGCGCAGACTACTCTTTAGCGCATCTGCTACTCTCTCCAGTATGCATTAAGTAGGTAACAGGGGACCGCTGTTTTGCTTCTCTTCCTGGAAACACTCTAATAAATTTAGCACAAACTGTCGGCCTTCTACATTGATCGTATTTCCGGGCACTGTACAATTTTATATTGAAAATTGATAACAGGATAACCTAAATTGCACGCCGATGTCAAGTAAGTCGTCACTCTGACAAATACGATTGATGGGCACTCATACGTAACGACAAAGTTTTCGAGCCGGAGACACACAACTAAAAAATGTATGTATTTGAGCTTACCGAACAAACGTTCACACACAGAGGTAGGTTGCATGTGTATGCATGAGGGATATGGATATATAAAGGGATACTGGTAGTCTTACTTTTACCAGCCAAGAACCCTGACGACAGCTAGACTTCCATGCCCACGGAATATTGAGACACCCTGTATGAAAATCTAGTCAGAGTCGGACAATCAATCAAACTAACAATCTACACTTTTCTCCGAGTTTCACAAACGCCACCTTAACTTTGACAAATAAGACAAAAATGTCAATTATTTTTTACTGAATAATGTATTTTTTGAGCATAACATTTATTACAACGCTAAGGAATTTGAATGAAAAAGTCAAACATATTTTCAAACCTATTACACGATCATACAATGTTGAGCCTGGATCATGTCAGTCAAAGAAAGTCATTCTGGACCCTTATTGCAATGTAGCGGTTATAACAGGCGGTGCAGAAGGAATTGGGCTAGCCACAGCTCACCACATGCTGCGTGAAAAAGCAAACCATGTAACACTCATAGGTAATGATATCAGCAAAGGTCTGGAAGCAGTCAATAACTTGAATTGTGGCCACGGTAAAAACAAAGCTACGTTTTTGCTGTGTGATATCAGCAAGAGAGATGCAGTAGAAGAAGCTTTGTGTAGCATTAAAAAAGAATTCAATGATGTGAAGATATTTGTGCACTCTGCCGGAATTTGGGATGAAAAAAACTGGGAAAAGAATTTGAATGTAAATCTCAACGGAACACTGAATTTCAACATGGGAATCAGGAAGGTCTTCGTGAAAAACCCAGGTAGTGTTGTGGTAAACTTGAGTGCAATTCCAGGATTAGAGCCATTTCATTGCAGTCCAGTACACGCAGCTACTCATGCAGCAATCATAAGATTTTCGCAAAGTCTAGGACACGAAATCACCTACAAAGCTCATGGAATGAGAGTCATAGCTCTATGCGCTGGAATTACTTGTACAGATTACATCAAAGACCTAGATCAAAGATTACCTTGTGAATGGAGTAAGGAATGTGTGAATGTATACCTGAAAAAGTCACATCGTCAAAAAGCTCATGTTGTCGCCAAGTCTATAATAGAAGTGATAAAATTCGCACATTCTGGCACGGTATGGCTGATAGAAGATTCTAGGCTGTTCGAAGTGTGTGTCCCGGATTGGCGGAGCACCGCTCACTTGATATCTCAATATTCTTAGTAGTACTATTTATATTTAAAGTCTAATAAATGATATTTCAAATGCACATGGATCTGAAGATTCATATCCTGGGTCTTTTTGAATCTTTCAATCAAAGTTACTGTATTTTCAAAATGACGAAGCCGGAATCGGAATCTGCATCACAATGGATAATAAGATTGTAAAACTGTTTATCTCAAAATGGTTAATGTTATCGAAATCACACAAGAATCGAATTTTTTTTTACATAAAGGGCGAAACTAATTACTCTCGATATATATACTAAGTGACATATAAATCCGAACACCCAGTTTAAATGGTTTCATTTTAATAAAATTTTGTATAAGTACTTAATGAAGCATAATAAGTAAATGATAAAAATTTCAAAATGATTGCACTGCTTTAAAGCCCTTTGACCTTTAATAATGTGTGAATGCACCCTGATGTGCTACGCATTCTCCAACGCGCCTAGGCATGCTTCTGATGAGGTGGTCTATGTCCTCCTGTGGTATCTCATTCCAGGCAACCACCAACTCCTCTCGAAGTGCTTCTAGAGTCTGAGGAGGACGTTGCAAATTGAGCAATCTCCTACCCATCATATCCCACACGTGCTCAATTGGGGATAAGTCGGGAGATCTTGGTGGCCATGGTAACAATGTGACATCATTATGTTGAAAGAAGTCTATTGTGACTCTTGCAACATGTGGTCGGGCATTATCTTGTTGGAAAGTTGGATCTGCCAGGGTGTCAAGATAGGGTAAAAGATGGGGTTCTAGAAATTCGTGGATATAACGCTGCGCGTTCATGTTACCTCTGATGAAGATTAAAGTTGACCTGGAACCATAAGCTATAGCACCCCAAACCATAACTCCAACAGTGTGAGGAACATGTCTTTCAACAAAAAACTGTGGATTCCTCCTTTCACCACGTCGCCTTCTAACCCTGGCACGACCATCGTGCATGCCTAAACAAAATCGAGACTCGTCACTAAAGACAATACTGTTCCATTCCTGATCCCAGAGTGACCGTTGTCTGCACCACTCAAGGCGATTACGTCTGTGTTCTCGAGTTAAAGGGATGACCCAGCGTGTCCGGTATGAAAACAAGCCAAAACTTCTCATTCGTCGGTAAACACTTCGCATGCCAATAGGTCTTCCGTGTTCTGCAAACCATTCATTTGCAATGGACCTGGTAGTGGAGAAACGGTCCCTTAAGGCCAATAATCTTAGGCGGTGATCTTCACGGTCTGTTGTTCTACGGCGGCGTCCAGTGCCCCTTGCTCTTTGCGTACGGCCTTCTTGAAGCCATGCCTGACAACACCTAACCACAGTGTCTACACTTCTTTGCACTCTAACTGCAATTGCCCGAAAAGAATGTCCAGCTTCCCGAAGTCCCACTATACGGCCCCTATCAAACTCACTAAGTTGACGAAATCGTACAGGTCTCCGTACTCTAGGCATCGTAACCGATCGTAAAGGATGTCAAGAACCAAAATCCGCCAACGTTGATTCTTTACTGCGGCAGAAATATTCATTTTTAGAGCGTTAGTGAATTAAAAAAAGCAGTATAAAAACCGGAATGTCCAACTGATAAGGCTGAAAGTTTTTTCACTTGTTATTTAATAATAATAATAATAGACGTCTTTATTTATCCACAATTACATGGTAGTATAGCCAAATGTCAGACTTATATGGCGAAGTTTAGCATGCTGCTACTCTTACACTTAACCATATAGTCTCTAGCAGATGTTCAAAAGAATACACTATCCACAAACAGATTTGATTCATTACATCGAAAGTAAAATCTAAAAAAAAGAGAGAAAAAGGCATACCTTCCAAACCCAAATGCATCAAAAAATTATTAATCTGAATTAAAGATGGAATAAAAAAGAAATGAATGATTATGTAAATTATATGTTTGGAGGGTTGAGTAATAATGTTTTAACTTTTTGTCGAAAGACAGGTAATGAAAATTCTTTATATACTTTAGGAAGGTCATTATAAATAATAGCAACATTGTAAGAAAAACTGCGTTCAAAAAGTGTAGACGTATGCAGGAGTATTCTAATATTATTTTCTCTGAGAGTTCTACAGTGAACATCATTATTAAATGAAATGTTTTCCTTCAAGTAATAAGTTTTAGACGTGAGCAGCAATTTGTCAACAAAAACCGAATAGTGATACTTGACCATGTCATTAATTTTTAACCAGTTTAGAACGGGATATTTCGCCGATACATGATCAAATTTACGTAAGCCAAAAATGAATCGCATACAATTGTTTTGAATAACTTGAATAACGTTTTTAGTGAAATTGTCTAAACAAGTATAGTATACGATATTACAATAATTTAGTATAGATATGACCAATGCTTCACATAGTTTTTTACGCATCTTAAAATTTAGTAAATACCTGTTTGCTATAAGAGTGCGCAGCCGTAGGTAGGTTTTCTGAGATAGACTTTTAACATGTTCAATAAACCTTAATTTTGTATCAAAAACAACACCAAGAATTTTTGCAGAATCAGAAAATTGCAAGATTTGGTTATTTATCTGAATGTTCAAGAGCTGTGTTACATTGTATGCTTTTCTTTGTGCGCAAAATAATAACATTTTAGATTTTTGTGGATTAATAAGTAGATTGTGATCTAAAGAGTATTTAATTAATTTATTAACATCGTTTTGTAAAAATTGTGTAGTATTATTCACATTATCTGGGTTAAAATAATGAAGCAATTGCGTATCGTCTGCAAATGACTGGACATGAGAATTATCAATACTTTTGCTTAAGTCGAACGTATATATGAGGAACAGAAGCGGCCCCAATACAGAGCCCTGTGGTACGCCTGAGGGAATTATTGTCACTTGAGACATTTCTTGATTGAGAAAAACACACCGAATTCTTTGATGAAGGTAACTGTCAAAAAATGAAAGGGATACACTGTCAAGACCTATGTAATTTAATTTCGCAAGTAATAATTTATGATTGATGCTGTCAAAGGCTTTCGAATAGTCTATAGATTAAGGCTATGCCATTTTCTTATCTAAGGCACTTAAAATATTGTCTTGCAGATTAAGTAGGGCAGATGTTGTACTATAATTTTTTCTAAATCCGGATTGAGTGTCGGGAAGTATACAGAATTTTTCTAGGTAAGCGGTCAATTGGAACTTTATAATTTTTTCTAAAATTTTGGATAAAATTGGTAATAAACTGATAGGTCTGAGATCATTATACTCAGTGGGTTTCATTTTTTTAGGAATTGGAATAATTAGAGCTTGTTTCCATGTGTTTGGAAAGTAGCCTTTTTCCAAACAGTCGTTAAAGATGTGGACGATGTGATGGAGAATAACTGGCAGGTAAAGCTGGATCATTGACAGGGATATCCATCAATTCCCTTCGCATCAGATTTTAGGCTCCCTATTGCCTGTAATACGTCATTTGAACTAATCTTATTCAATGAAAAAATATATTCAGAGCTTAATTTATTTTTGGAATAGTTTTCGCAAACTAGTGAATCAACAGGTTTATAGCTATAAACAGACATAAAATAATCATTAATTTTGGTAGGATCATTAAAACTTGCCGGAAGGGTTGGTTTACTACGAAAATTTATATCAAGTTATTAGAGAGACTTCCACAATTTTTTTGAATCATTTTCATTTGCCAAATTTTCGATATTATGTCTTTTTGTCCCTCTTGATCATGTTAAGAGCACGGTTTCTAAGCGATTTGAAGTTATTATAGGCGTCCACAGTCTTATTAGTTTTATATAAAGCTTGTGCATTATTCATTTCATCAAGAACAGTGCGTAGTTCATTTGTTAACCAAGGTGATCGTGGCTTATTAACTCTTACAGTTTTAAAAGGTGCATGTTTATTATAGGTTTCCACGATAACGCTTGTAATGTGCATTACCTTCTCATCAATATTAGATTTCGTAAATAATTCATCCGTGCCCGATGTAGAAAGATCGATAAGAAAATCATGCTCACTGAAATGTTTAAAATCCCTGATTGTGATAAATTTTTGTTTTCTTTTATAAGGTGGAATGTCAAAATGAAAAAATATGAGTTTGTGGTCCGAAATACCATTCGTGTCCATGACAGAAGAATAGCTGCATATTTGAGGATTATTTAAAAATATTGGATCGATTAATGTTGCAGTACAATCTGTGACACGGGTGGCTTCCGTTACGATTTGTGTGAACCCCATCAGCTCAAAACTCAGTGAGAATATATTGTTATTAAAAAAATTCATATTCAGATCTCCCAATATCACGATGTTATGATGATATAACGAGAGGCTGGGTAGGAAACCATTTAATAAATCTGCACATTGTTGTATGTTTTTAGAGGGTGGTCGGTACAAACCACCTACTAACAGTTCACACTTACCCGCAACCAATTTCCTTTTTCAGCATGTAAATTTGATTTAACATAAATTCCAACTCCACCACCACGAGATTCTCTATCACAACGCAAGAAACAATAGTTGCTAATATTAACCACATCATCAGTAATATTTTCATTTAGCCACGTCTCTGTAACAGAGAATACATCAAAATTTTCTAATGCTATTAAATTTACAATAGCATCAAAACTAGACATGAGGGAACGTACATTCAAGTGTCCGATAAGCATTTTACTACCAGCCATTAAGAGTATTTGAATCATACATAATTTAGAAAAAAATTTGAGTATTCTAAATAATTCTAAAATGATCAAAATAAAATTCGTGGGAGATGTCTTTGTTGAAAGAATTCATACATGTACACTGGGCAATTTTTGTCTGTCGGAAGATGATCGATACTGTAAGATTTTTTATACTGGTGATTTGAATACAAACAGTTGCAACAGTAAGATAAATACATTCACCAACTTTTATTAAAATAAAACCATTTAAACTGGATGTTCGGATTTATATGTCACTTAGTATATTATACAGGGATCCTAGTCGATACCTCGTGGAATAGCCAATTGTTTTCTATGGACACCATGATGTGAGGCCTGAAATAAGATACCATACTATTGAAATTTCATTAGATTATATACCAAGCTGCTGACTATTGCAATGGGCTGGCGATTATACTAATCGACAAAGGGTGATGGCTTCTCGATGAGTAAATAATAGAAATAAATAGAAATAAAAGAAAGAGCAATTCGAATCAAAGTTTGAAGACGCGACGCTGCCCCGATTCGTATCCAGGGCCGACTGCCACCCCAATTTCTAACATAGTTGCCGGGTGTCTTTGCACAGTCACCTTATCGTCGCACACATCACTACACCATGCAAAAGCCGAACCTGTTATATAAAATATTGTAATAAGTTGTTTTACAACTAAATTATATTCTTGAGGATATGATCGAGAGATAATTTGAAGAATTACTTTAACTTGCTACGCCACACATAGCAAAAAAATTCGTAGATGTGATATTCCGGTTTTTGGATGTTATATGACATGTACATAATGTAAATTATAGCCCCCCCTAGGTACGTCTTGAAAAACCATGTCACTCATTTCCGCCTGTATATCTGTTTGGATGTCTTTCTGTCTGTCAGTCTGTATGCATGTACGTCTGTCTGCTAATCCTTGAGATGCCTATAATTTGTTAAATACCGCTCTTATATGGATGAAAAAGCTTTGTAGTTTCTTAGAATTGGTCTAGGTGCGGCGGGGCTAGGACATGAAGCAAGATAAAAATCGCTCAAATTTCGATTTTTGATGTTACACAAGCTCTATCATTTTCAGAAAAATATTGGTAGGGGTTGAAATTCGGGGAGAGGGTTTATGAAAATTTGTTGATGTTAGTGTATTTGCACGTTTCCAGTCCCGGTAATTCTATGCACCTTTCACACGTCATAGATTTCCGCCTTCAAAAGTTATAATGATGGAGACATTTCCTCAATCCCCGTAATCCTGATTTCTAAGCGCACCCGCTCGGTGTACCGGACTGTCGTGCAGATGTAAGAAGGGACAATGTTGCCAGATGGGCAGTAACTACAGGTAGGGAAAAAATGTCTTTGGGCTAGTTGGACTGACTTGATCGCTTAATTTCTCAGTTATACATGTTTCCAATTGATTTTTTTCTCAGAGGACTTAATTAATTAGTTGCGCTGAACTTGATATCTTATGAACTGATGACCCCGTTGCGTAGGAAGTGCAGAGTCAACATACTTGACTCCAGTTTTCTGCATATTTGTATTTAAATAGTTGTGAATATTGATATAAGTGATCCAAAAGAAGTTTTCGTGGATGAACATACCTTCAACATTAGACTTTACGCGACCGATTTGCTGTAATGGTTAATTTATTACAAGAAATCGTAAAACATCGTCGATTACTAAATTTGTGTAATACCAAAGGAAATTATTAAAAAATGCTCAACGGCTCCTGCCAATTTCCAATTGTTACTAATTGCTTAGGAAATATGCTTTTGTCATGTGAAGGTACAATCGCAAAATGTGCCGCAATTTGCGTTATAGACATGATAGTTGGTAACATGTGCTCGGCAATTTTGTACGCACAAAATGTTCCAGATACCAAGTAGCTTTGCCGTGGCACAGCACATACCAGATGTTCTTAAAGTTTGCAGCAAGTTGTGGCACATGTGCCAGACCAATGTAACAGGTTCCAAGCACATGTTGGGTAACGTGCGACTGACAGATGTGGCGGTATTTTATTACATTGGGAAACACTCATCTTAAGGAACTGTTTGAACAGGTTCAGACCCTTATAGAACCACCTTTTTCAGAACAGAACCAACGCTACAGACGCATCAACAGCCGCTGTTATTCAGAGACAACAAACAGCCTACTTCAGACGTGGCAGACGTCTTACTGTCACTAAAACATGCTGTCGTGCATCCCTCAGGACAGAGCCCTACAGACTATCACCATCATCAGGTAATATAAATGCAATGCTTATTTTCGTGTGACTTAGTAAATAATTAGGTTTAAAGAAACAAATCTAATAAATTAGTTATTGTAGTTGCATACCAATGATAAATTGTCAGCTGGACAGCAGTTTCCACTTGGCTCTCAGATATGATACGGATACTGCTATTTAGCATAAGGCTCTGCACCGCTCGACCGCTTTACGTTGGCTGAACGGTCCCAATATCTAGATCAGGTTTGACCTCAAGAATGTAACTTTTATAACTTTTTGTTCCTAGAGGATACTTATTAGTACTTTTTGTTAAACTAAATACTAAATACCAAGGCACTGCGATTGATACAAGGAGTTTAGAGACACCGTGTTAATCGGACTTTCAACTGAGGTTATCAGAACTGGAAAACGTCTCCTATGAAAGATTGTTCCAAAATCTCGACAGCCCAGAAACAAAGAAGTAGTCGTATCGGCCAGTTCGGATGTACACAGTTTAACAGAATTAGGACGTGAGAAGCCTGGTGGGTCCATCTGGCAGGCTCAACGTGTGGTGGCATCATAGCGGAGAGCTCTGGGGAGCAAAGCTCGTTGCCATAGCAGTAGCCTCTGCCAGATCGTCGACCGCCCATCGGCGTCGGTGTAAAATTGTCCCGAAAGTGTCCGTTAGGGAAATGTAATGCGGAAGGGGCTGGGTCTTATCGTACAGTACAAACTAAAGAAGCTATGTGGAGAAAACTACTTCCTAGCCCTGAACAAATACTGTTTTCCCAGCAGTTGTCGCGAGTAAGGTCCTCGGTGATCTTGACACCAAACTGCCGAAACGAATAGCTCCTTGGCAGATATCGACCATCCATCAAAACCAGACGCAGGCTAGGGCGCTTCTTGTGATCTAAGGTACAGTAGTATGTTTTGGAAAGGCAGTCGCTACTAGTCTCGCTAGCTCATCGGGAGATATTGTCTCTCTGAACGCTTGCGAGTAGAGTGTGTCATTAACAAAGCTGTGTAGATATCGGATTGATCATACAGGAGAGAAAGTTGCTAATGTATAAAGGAAACAGTGGTCGAGTCAAGACCGATCACTGAGGAAGACTCGATGGGTTGACATGATGGGTTATAGAGGAAATTCTGTCAATTATGACGGATAACTTGCGGCCAGAGAGGAAGTCGGCCGTCAATCTGCAAGGCTTTTAGGATGGAAGTTTGCATAAGAAGACAGCATGACACAACTGATCCAAAGCGTACGTCAAGAGCAACGACATAAAGCTCATTATATGACTGTCCAAGCTTACTCCAATGTTGAGTGGCTTAAAATAAGATGCGATCGCTGGCAGCGGAAACCATACTGCCTATCATATAATTTCATATTTTCTATATTCTCATAGGTAACAAGATTTCGGAGCTATACCAACAAACATTAGCTTCCCGAATGAGATAAATCGCTCTAAAGCATGGTCTCAGACTAGTTTCGAAAACTGCAAATTTTTATTTGTACTTTTAGTACTCGTAGTACCACTCTAAAGCAATATGAGCATTGTACAGGGTTTAACCTTTTCACAATAATTTATTTGTTTTTTATAGTTATAAATGCTGCATATCATATCTTTTTTGACGCTAGTTTGCCAGCTGAGTCCTTCCATGTTAGAAATATATCTAGTTGTTGTAATAAAACGCAATCTACTGAGATCTTTATTTCACAGGATGTTGATGAAGAATCTGATAAAACTTCAACGGATCCGGTAATAATTCGTTTCCAAGATACAGAATCTCAAACTCTTTTGATTTTATTGCATTTGTGTTGTTTAGCTATTGTAGTTCAAATTTAATAAAAATTAGCAGGTATCGTCGGAAAATCAACCAAAATCATGACTCTCTCAAATTGTTATAGTCATGAAAATTACTGGACTTAATTCGTTAAATGTTTTCCTTTTGGGGCCTGGTCCTTGATACCCCGTTTTCTTATTCGGCTTAATCTGGCTTTTACGCGATACGTCAGTACTTACTAAATTTCATCCAATTTTAACAATATCTACTAAAGGACTATTCGGATTCTTACGAAAAAGTTTACGTCTTGAAGACGAAACATTATCGGAGATATGTTTATATCAAATTTTCTTAGAATCCTCAAAGAATCAACCTTTGAAGTAATGGAAGGAAATGTAACTGGGCAACTGAGCATAGCAAATAGTATCGTGTACGAATGAAATTTAAACAAACTTTCGTTCGTACGGCCACAACTGGCCAAGCATGGATATCTGTTTCGTGCTATTTCGTAACTCTTCAGCATGGTCTAGTCTTGGTCTCAGGTAGGACAATGAACCTAAGCTGAGCAATTACCCCCTATCTAGAGTATAAGGACTATAAGGTCTATAGAAATAAGACAGCACAAAGTACCATCTATTACCAGAATCGACCACAGCGAGAGTGAAAACAGCAAGCTGTCTGTTGGCACTGTATTCTATTGCGGTCCATATAGTGCGAGGTATATGAAATGTAGTGGGTTTTGTAGAATGGTGTCATCTAGTTTATCGTGTATGAAGCGCATTGTTATGGGATGTGGGAGACAAATGTAACAGGAGAGCAATTGAAAAGCCTTGGTTGAGTAACATGATAATATACATTTTGCATCATCGTTTAGACATACTGTATGTTAGAACACCCTATTACCTTTTCTCCCATAGCATTCAGTAATGTAATTCGTGCATCATAGACATAGCAATATTTCTGGAAACTCTATCTTATTTCGTTCATCTTACGGTGTTAAAATTCTTCTTTCATTATTTCTATCGTATACATTATCAGGGTGAAGTGTCTCTTTCATAAAATTAATCGATGAACAACTTATGACCAGGTATGTATGGACTGAATTTTTGTTAGAGACGTGCAACCTGAACGAAACTATAAGTTCATTCTCAGGGGACATTTTAAGGTGTGTAAGATGCGAGGATTTGTGGCAGCGAATGTTCTTGTGATCTTGTGACAACTGAAAATTGAAGAGCGGGTACAAGAATTTTCTACGTATTTACCTTGTCCTAGTGATCTTTTGGCGGCTTTCTCTCCCGGATTTATCGTACAAAGACGGTAATAATCGTATGTTTAGCAACACTGTGGCAAAAGTGTTAGGATGAGATGTCGTTGATATGCTCGGAACACGACACCTAATATGACATTTGACCATAAACCCCATTGCGCTCACAGAACCTCCGCTGGTCGTCGTGTCATGTTCCAATAATCCATACACATATCAACAAGATTTGATTACAAATGTCAGAAATGTTAAAAATCGCCAGATATCGCCAATTTGCTGGATGTTAGGCGCCAAGCTATACATTTTAACCGCCATTTGAAACCGTCAAATCGCCACTTTGGCGAAAAATCGCCCCGCCTGGCGACCCTGGGCGGATCACATCCCCTCCAATCTTGGCGCCTCCAGTGTTGCCAGATCGTTCGCTGCTTTGCTAGTCTCATCACTTAATTTACAGACCTTGTCTGCCAGTTTGTAATTATCTATGTAAAGGTACAGGACCAGAGTTGAGTGGAACAGCACTGCTGGACTTTGATGAGGATAAAATAAAGCCGTTTGTTATTATTATTACTATTATTACTATTATTATTATTATTAAATTGATAATGATGAGCCTCATGAATGTAGTAATGTGTTAATAGTTATTTGGCAAGCTTTGTTCAGTCCAATGTATTCTGTCCCCGAAACTTTTAGGCCAATTTGTATTTTAATTCCATTCTTTTTTGTTAGTAGTACCTATATGAAATGAACGAATGGATCTAACTAAATAGTTTAACGCAAATTTTATTTGTGCACGCAATGTTTCACTAGGCGAAAAGTATGCCGAATTCCTTTATCATCTAAAACAAGGAATGAAGTTTTTGCAAAGTCTAAGAATCTATATTCACTGCAGATGCTGCTGTCACCTGGAGGCTACGCAGGAGGATTATTTGCAGATCAAGCGTTTCCTCAGCAAACCGCTATGTTTCCTAGCATGTCCGTGAATGTGTCCATGAACATGACCATGCACGGTTACCATCCAAATAATGGCTGCGGGTATCCCACGGCAGACATAACATGTCCACAAGTGAGTATTTGTGTAACAAACAATTGGGACATTATCAGACTAGCTGTCCTAAAACTTATCGAGCCTATACACTTTACAGGCTTTGAAGTAAGAATTTCAATCGTTCATCGCAAAAATAACTTCCTTTGGACATCAAGCAGGAGCACAGAGCTGCTGGCAAGCCTTACAATGGAGCATTTACTTAACAATTACACAGATCCGTCCTATATTAGTGTCATAATACCCTTTGTTACTTACGTATCAAGGCAACAATACCGGGTTTTGATTTTCTCAACCTGTACACTCTACCAAAAAGCGTCAATTACCTCTTTGGGTGTTAGGTTCAATGGAGTGCCACCTCTCAGCCCCTGGCACCAAGTCATCACCATCACCACCATCATCAGCCCTACAGTGGGACCCAAACAAGTGGTGGAGGTGGTGGGGGTCTGCTTTCTCCAGCTTCCTACGGTGGCGCCACCTACTCATTCACGGCTGACTTTAGACCGCCACAAGAAATCAATGCTTATAGACCACAAGGAGCGTTTTCACCTAGGAGGAGAACAGGAGGAGTGACCACCGTTGTGGAGGAGGATGGGCAGAAGGCGAACGTTTGTAGGATATGTGGTAAGTTTACCTTCTTGGATATATTTCAGATTACAGTGCTTTTCAAGCCTCCCACTTTTTATTTTTTGAATGGGTCAAGCTAGCAAGCTGAAATTCTGGAAGTATGATTATTATATTATATGGTAAAAGTGACAGTTGAACATTTTAAATAGGCGGTTTGGCATCATCTTGGCACATTTTCTTAAATGGAATTGAAGGTCTCGTGATATCTCATTTTGAATCTCCTCATAAGTGCTTTACAGCTTTTGAGTATGAATACCTTTCAAAATGGCAAATTTGAGGGCTTCCAAATTTGAGTGTTTTTGTACATTGTATCGCTTATGACTCAACAGCTAGTTACTAAAATGCTGTAGTATCTTATATCAAACTTCTTTTTTGGAATCTTTTTTTATCTAAATATGTAATAAAATATGGGGCATTACGTTTAAAAAAGTCAAAAAGTTTGCCATTTGTTTGGATTGCACCATATTTTATTACATGTTCGGATAGATCCTTCCTTGGAAAGAATATTGATACAACATACGTCAGTCAACTTCTATGTTACTATGCATCGGACTCAGAAAAAATAAAATATTTCTCTTAAATTATTTTTCGTTAACTAATCTAGCATTATTGTAGCATAAACTTTTTCCTTTCCAAATCAGACCAGGGTTGGAAAATAAAAATTGTAATTTTAGTTAGTCATTTGCAAAAATGTATTTAAAATCCGACTGAATTCTAATAATTAATAATGCAAAACAAAAATCATCTCGATACAATCGTTGGGAGTTTTCCAATCAACGCGAGATTATGAGCGCGTCAGAGCCTGTATTGACATATGTACGTATATTTCATCAATATTCGGACTATTTAGATACCTAAAAAATACTGTTCTGTAGTTGGGCTTCTGTTTTAACCTAAAAGAGAACCACTGACTAAGCCACCATATTTACTACACAAATTTCTTATTGAGAGCTTAGGTAATTTAAACAAATGCATGGTTTCAGTTTTTTCTATTATATTCATTAATATTTGTCTACGATTTCTATAAAATGGGCTTTTTCACATGGTTAAATAAAGGAACATTACATGGATGGAAATTAAAGAATTGCAATCTCTGTAAGTAATTTTTATTGAATTTACCGAAGCCTTTATCATTTCAATCCTTTTATGGAAAAGTTTAAACGTTCTTAAGACCCATTTGATTCTGTACAATTTAAAACAGAAACCAACTCGATGCGATCAAAGGGAGCTTGTCCAATCAACGCTAGATTTTTAGTGTGTCGGACCGAGCATGAACTTATTCTACTAATACTCAAACTATTTACCCAACTGGTAACCTTCCAGGCACGTTTTTTATTGTTCCTTTTCAAAGAAGCTTGCTGAATGTGTGTACACCCAGCAGGATTGCCTACTTAAATGTCCTCTCTCCAAATGTATGCACCAAAATTGCATCATGTTGACAAACAATACAATGTAAACATATAAGCTTAATCTATTCGATGCCGTTGGGTTCAAACGTATCTATGCACCATACGAGGTTTGTGAAACAGTTTTTCCAACTGTATTCTAAAAATGAATGACATCAGTTTCGAGCAACGGTGTCCTAGCAGGTTTTCGTAGATAGTGTTTTGTCAAGACCACAGATTTTTTTTTTGGTGGTTTAAGGCATTTTCAGAAGAGAGAGGGTCAATTGAAGATGAACCACGAACCGGAAGTTCTTCATCTTCAAGAACTGATGAAAATCTCGACAGTAACCGGGGTCTTGTGTGTTCAGATCGTCGATTGGCAGTAACAATGATCGAGAAACAGTTAAATTTGACCCATACATCAGACCGAGAACAACAGTGTTGGTCCACGATAATGCTCCTTGTCACACAGCAATGTCAATAGACGAGTGTTCGGCCAGTAAAAACATTCCTGTGAGTCTAATCAGCCTCCTTATTCGCCTGACTTGAGTCTTGAGTTGAAAAAAGAAAACTCATTTTGAGACAGTCGAAAACATTCAAACGGCTGTAACCGACCAGCTGAATGCTAATCCAGCATCGGAGGTCCAGCACTGCTATGAGGAGTGGAAGAACAGTCTCCAGCGGTGTGTTCCTTCAGAAGGAAGCTATTTTGAGGGTGCAATATAAAATTGTAATTGTATTTGAATAAAAAATACAAAAAATCAGCCTCATCACTTAATTTACAGACCGCGTATGTGCCATGTTTTAAGTCAAACCAATAAGTTATAAACGAAGTGAAAAAAGGTAGTCTATGTCTGTTTTTGCATTCATTTAGAAGGATTTCATGGTTGAAGTATATGTAAAAATCAACCCAAACCAATTTACTTTTATTACAAGTAAATTTCAACTTCTAACATAGTTATGGATTAAGCCCACTGTAGATTGAAAATGATAATATAAATTTTATAATTTTCAACCTTCGACCATAAGTGAGCGTTACTATTTTGATTTGTGTGTGTGTGTATGTGTGTGTATCTTGTCTATAGGTGCATGACATTATAGCTGTTCAACGGATAAACCGAATTTAATTTTCATATTACTTCCCACGTGAACTGGCATTGTAATCACAAACGGATTCGGAAGTGAGGTGGTACATTTTTTGTCGCGAAAAACCATATCACTCATTTCCGTCGGTCTGTCTGTCTGACGATCCGTTATTCCTTGGCCTCTCTATAACTGGTTGAAATTTGATGTTTTGATACAAGGCTGCTTCTAAGCCAAAAGCGGAAAGGCTTTTTATGTTTTGAAAATCGATGCAGTCGTAGCGGAGCTACAGGTACAAAACGAAATAATAAAAATTGCTCAAATTTCGATGTTCGGTTCAGAAACATATTGTATGGTTTAACAATAATTGGGAGTTGGCGGTTGTATGCGGTGGGGAATTGTATACCTCAATGTTAATACATCTTTTCGCTATCAGCCATATTTCACACATCATTGGCCCTTAAAAAAATTGCAGAGAAATATTTTCAACACACGTGTCGCAGCAACGAACATAGAAAAACTACGTGCACGTTTAACCGATGCCTGGCGCTTGACCGATGGGTGGCTGGCGATTGGCGAGGTTAGTCATAGCCACATTGCACTTAATTTTTTATTGTTATACATGTCCGTAGCTAAATTTTTCTCAACTTACTCTGTATATAACCCACGCAATGCTGTCTGGTGACAGATGTCTGAAGCTAACGTTGCGTGGGAAGTGCAGTGTCAACCTGCTTGACGCCATTTCTTTAAACATGAAAGGTCACTTTGTGTGAGTCTTTTCTTACGATGGCACAACAATTTCTTGAGCCGTTTGAAGTCGTATTTAAATTCTTCATTTATACTTGTAGCATGTTAAACATCTTATTCATATATTTGCCATGAATAATCATCATAGGCATCTCTCCCGCTATCAATAAAATATTTTCATTTATGTCGTAGCGGCGGTAAGGAATAATTTATGAACACGTTTTCCACGTGTCAAGCCCTACTTTTTGCCCACTGATTTCGTTATGCCCTCACTGTACTCATCTATTTGTAGCTAGGTAACGCCCACAATCATAGATACTTGGCGATATACTACGGATAATTTATTTATTTATATGTACACTTACAGACTAAACTATTTTTTACTTAATCTATAGTCAGTCGGTGATATTTCGTATGCATCTCAGGTATTTAGATCACCTTGTATGTAAGATCCCGCGGCGGTTCGCAGCTCTAATCCTAAGTTCACGTCGTGGGGCATTAATTTCGCCCTACGCTCCAGATATCTAAATAACTATAATAAAATCTTTTCAATAGAAATAATATAAAATTCAACTACAGTATACTATACCCGATATAAAATTGAAAGGAACAGTCTTAGGTACAGCTTATGTGAAACTAGACTAAACAAATTACTGAGCATCTCAGGCTTGCTGGATATAGATATATAACAATAAAAATATATGACCTCCAAGATTAAGAGGATTGGAGTAAGCAAATCTCACTGATGAGGCAACAATAAAAATGTCAAGCAGTGGCTTTTACTGAAATTTTACACTCAGTTGTATAATTTGTGATAAAAGTTATTTTGATATAGGTACCTTGATTTTCATACATATATCATCATATATTCCTGAAGATAAAAGCATTTGTATTTCAATTTATACATACTGATAGTCCTGATTGATCTTCCTGACATGTAGTAGTCAAGCCCGCCAATATCTAGAAGGCATGCCAATGGGAAATAATAACCCATGAGTCAACAATGGACAACGTGCACCAGCATTGTGGCATGTTATTTCTCTTTGGTTGGCGAACTAAGCTTATTATAGCCTCCATACCCTGGAAAAGATATTTTCGACTTCTTACTATTCAGGCAATTTAGTCTAGTACCATTTGTGTAATTGACTTTATGCTCTATAGTGCCCACAGAATGGGGCTATGAATAACTGTATTTTCCCATATGCCAGTATCAAGTTTACAGATGATTTCGTGTGGTAAATATTCAGATTCCAAAAGACATCGCGTATGTGTATGGTCAGAAACTCTGATTTATATTGGACTACGTCATCTAGTAAGACTGATTATATCTGACGTGGCGTGTGACGCTTCTGTCAGCTGCGATGAACACGCGCCGCTCCAGACAAAACAACGCCTAAAATCCCTTAACATTTTATCAAGGCATGTGGCTACGCCCACTAACACAAATAATTCAACACATGTTTATTGGACGCTACATGATCTTCTGCCCCAAAGAACGAGTGTATATATGGCCAGTTAATACGAAGGTAGAACCTGGTTGATCTGATACAAAGGACATAGGTGACGGTCGATTCAGAGCTTCCGTGAATAGTTCAACACGAGTCACCAACGGCAGCTTATTGCTTCATGCATAACAGCGTACTACCGCTAATTATTAGTCAATAAACATTATTGCTATTTGGTTTACATTCCGTCCTGACCTATGGATTCGAAGTATGTGGCGCATCATCGAAGATGTTAAGACTTTGTGTGTTACAAAAGAGGGCTCTTCGAACAATCCTTTAAAGGGAAAGGCGCACTAGTTACAAAGATTTATTTAGAACTTTTTAAATTCCAACCTTGCCATCTGTGTAGATTCTAAATATATTAATCCATGCTAATACGGACTTGAACAGGTTTAGTAATATAAACGCTGGTGCGTACTTTACAAGGAAGAGTCAAGAGTAGGAGGTACCGTCACATACCTGTAGGTTGGCGAGAACGGAGGAAGGTCCTAGATACATGGATGTTAGGCTTTTCAACAGACTCTCCAACGATTTAAAATCACAACCACTAAATATTCTTAGAAAAACATCAAGATCTTACTGGAAGAAGCTTTTAACCCTGTTGAGGAATTTTTCACGTGTGATTGTCTCCTGCGTTTATTGTTTATCGTTTTATTATCATTCTATTTTTGATTCTTTGTCCTTTATTTTGTCTTTTCATATATACTCTTACATTTTTTATATTTATAATTTATACGCATAGTAGTTTTGATTTCTCAATATCAGTAATGTATAAGGTATACGTATGCGTAACTTAGCTTTGTATTGTTTTGAACAATCCTATATCATACGTGTAATTAAACAGAACTAATAAATCATTATTATTCTAGGTAAAAGTTATGCCCGTCCAAGCACCTTGAAGACTCATCTTCGCACTCACTCCGGCGAAAAACCTTACCGCTGCGCCGACTGTCACAAGTCGTTTTCACAAGCAGCGAATCTGACAGCGCACGTGCGGACGCACTCTGGGGAAAAACCGTTTCGGTGTCCGGTGTGCGACAGAAGGTTTTCGCAGAGCAGCTCTGTTACCACGCACATGCGCACTCATTCTGGAGAAAGGCCCTACCGGTAAGCATTTTTTGATGCAATACTCGTCACGTAAATACCAGTCCGATTAATTGTCGAGGTGTCCTGTGGCTTGCCACCCGCGACTTCATCATACAGTAAGAAAAACATAACTTGAGTATTAGACTCACAAGAAGAGGTCGTCATGAGTTGATTTGGTTCAAAAATGTGAAGCCTCCATGTTTGATTTTAATGTGTTTTGGATTCAAAGGGACCACATATTGTTTTTTATATATTTACTATTATTTAAATTTTGCCAATCAACATAATGTCTCATGGGACCTGTTTAGTAAATATTTGGTTATATTTAACTAGAGAGTTCAAAGGTATCAATAACCAAGAATTAAAAAACCAATTGCCGTCCGTATTCTGTAGACAAACACGTGGTTAAAACTTTACCAACCACTGGTTATAAAAGCAGTTAAAACTCACTTTATGACGGCAGGGCATTTCGGTTTCCTTATAGATGACTTGTTATATAAATGGGCAGCTACCAAGGTTTGGCATAGACAGCGGTAGTTGCCCCGAGATCTCCGATTGAAGTGGGCCAGAAACATTATTCCAAGGACCCTAGCTCAACGAAAATTTGTGTTATTAGAGTATACAATTTCCACTATACTGTGATTGTTGGAAAATGAACTATGTCGGCGAGGTAATGTTAGGGTAAACATTATAGCGGAGCATACCTTTTTAGGTAAGGTAAACAACATCACATTTCAATGTTATTAAACTACATTGTGTATTTCAACATCAAGTAAGTGTTACAGTCATCTCACAAATGGAACAATGTGTTTTGCATCAAAATTATCTACTCGTATATCTTGAGACGGGTTTTACAGTAATTAATTTAAAACAAAAAAACCTTGCCAGCCTCCGTACTGGCATATATACTAAGTGACATATAAATCCGAACACCCAGTTTAAATGGTTTTATTTTAATAAAACTTTGTATAAGTACTTAATGAAGCATAATAAGTAAATGATAAAAATTTCAAAATGATTGCACTGCTTTAAAGCCCTTTGACCTTTAATAATATGTGGATGCACCCTGATGTACTACGCATTCTCCAACGCGCCTAGGCATGCTTCTGATCAGGTGGTCAATGTCCTCCTGTGGTATCTCATTCCAGGCAACCACCAACTCCTCTCGAAGTGCTTCTAGAGTCTGAGGAGGACGTTGCATATTGAGCAATCTCCTACCCATCATATCCCACAAGTGCTCAATTGGGGATAAGTCGGGAGATCTTGGTGGCCATGGTAACAATGTGACATCATTATGTTGAAAGAAGTCTATTGTGACTCTTGTAACATGTGGTCGGGCATTATCTTGTTGGAAAGTTGGATCTGCCAGGGTGTCAAGATAGGGTAAAAGATGGGGTTCTAGAACTTCGTGGATATAACGCTGCGCGTTCATGTTACCTCTGATGAAGATTAAAGGTGACCTGGAACCATAAGCTATAGCACCCCAAACCATAACTCCAACAGTGTGATGAACATGTCTTTCAACAAAAAACTGTGGATTCCTCCTTTCACCACGTCGCCTTCTAACCCTGGCACGACCATCGTGCATGCCTAAACAAAATCGAGACTCGTCACTAAAGACAATACTGTTCCATTCCTGATCCCAGAGTGACCGTTGTCTGCACCACTCAAGGCGATTACGTCGGTGTTCTCGAGTTAAAGGGAGGACCCAGTGTGGCCGGTATGAAAACAAGCCAAAACTTCTCATTCGTCGGTAAACACTTCTCATACCAATAGGTCTTCCGTGTTCTGCAAACCATTCATTTGCAATGGACCTGATAGTGGAGAAACGGTCCCTTAAGGCCAATAATCTTAGGCGGCGATCTTCACGGTCTGTTGTTCTACGGCGGCGTCCAGTATCCCTTGCTCTTTGCGTACGGCCTTCTCGAAGCCATGCCTGACAACACCTAACCACAGTGTCTACACTTCTTTGCACTCTAACTGCAATTGCCCGAAAAGAAAGTCCAGCTTCCCGGAGTCCCACTATACGGCCCCTATCAAACTCACTAAGTTGACGAAATCGTACAGGTCTCCGTACTCTAGGCATCCTAACCGATCGTAAAGGATGTCAAGAACCAAAATCCGCCAACGTTGATTCTTTACTGCGGCTGAAATATTCATTTTTAGAGCGTTAGTAAATTAAAAAAAAAAGCAGTATAAAAACCGGAATGTCCAACTGATAAGGCTGAAAATTTTTTCACTTGTTATTTACAGTACGATAAATACATTCACCAACTTTTATTAAAATAAAACCATTTAAACTGGGTGTTCGGATTTATATGTCACTTAGTATAGTAGTAGTAGGAGAGGTGGGAAGCGGAGACGTGGTACCTACGGCACTTTTTTTGCATATCGCTTTTTACTAACACTTTACTACTCTTATAATCTTATACTTATCTACCTGTAAATGATTATTGAATCAACACATCTATGGCTCGAAATTAACTTCGTAGATGGACATTTGAACCCGCCAGGCTTCGAGTCAATGAATTAGCGGCACGCTGCGCTAACCACCCGGTTACTTAAACCTCGTTCCTCAAATTGACATTCTTCCTTAATTGATTTCCGATGCACAGTATCGCATTTTGCCTGAAATTTGTGTTCTGGACCAATCCCTGTTACTTACTGTATGTATAATCTTCGTTTTTCGACTTTCTTCAACATTCTGGTTACTTTACGGCATACAGTTAAAACATTTTTGGGAAATTCAAACATTTTTAATTTGGACATTCATCATGTTCCATTATAATATTTATATAAATTATATAATTTGGACCTCCTGGCGTTATGCAATAATAGCGGCTACGCCACTAGGGAGTCAGCGATATGGTTCTCTTTCATTCGTTTCCAATTTTACAAAATCTTCCGTTTGAGTCAGGCAAAACCACAACTTTGGAACAGATTGAAATGAAAGCAATACATCATCAAATCGTGAGTTATTAGACAGAAAGTTCGTCCTTAACCCCAATGTGTTGAGATTAGGTGATACGTAATATAGCTGTTAATGGAATCTGGTTAGACTATTAAAAATGATAAGGAACCAGATCTAGGTTTCTATAGCTCTTTGAAGTATTTGCTATCTCTGTAATCCCTGCTTCACGTAAGGGAGGAGACGATCATGTTTAGATGTATAGAAGGATTGATCAATAAAAATCCGTTTCTTCGGTGTCCGAAGTGAGTCTGGTTATTATTTTATTAAGTACCATTTATGTTAAGCCACTGGACTTTCCAGATATATATTCAAGGCCAGAACACCTAACATCATATCTACTGGTAGTATCATCTGTAGGGTTTTTCATTTCTTCTTTATCCACCATTAACCGTTTCTAGCGAAACTAACTTTATTCTACCTCAGATGGCGTAAAAAACGGTGTACTAACAAAAGTGTCAGATTTTTAATAGCTACTAGTTAACATCTTGGAATACATTGTCTAATCGCCGACTTAGGTTTGATGTTAGGTCAGGGAGATTGTTATTGTACATATATGTGTTGAGAGATTATTTTTCTACTTTTATATTATAATCTGCACAGCCTGTGTAGGCGCTTGGTTTTACCCTGTTCCCCATTACACCGCCGTCACAGTCCGGGCTTTCAGGTATGTAGTATCATGGATTGCAATCAAAACAAGAGCCTTCTATATGCACAATCCTCAGGGGTTTTGTGGGCACAAGAATCAATAACAGTATTAGCTAGTACTATGAACAAAAAATAATTATGAGCCCAGCTGAATCAATAGCCGTTCTAAATATATTATCAGTTGCATGTAAACATTTCTCTTATATTATCTTATAATATGCGAAATATTTGATATGTGTCTATAATAGAAGCTGAGGAAATTTACTAAGAAAATAGTTTTTTCAATTACCCACGTATTTTCAGTTTCTTGAGTTCTGAATAAGATAAGTGGCTTGCCGATTGTGCTATGTCGCATTCTGCCGCTTGGACTGATATTCTGCAAAGAAGCCCGCATGGCCTAGGAAAGAAAAGTTTAATCATCGCGATTTTGTCGATTGGTGAGGAAGTACTCTTATTACGAAAATTTTCGAAGTGGATATATTCGTATTTGTCGCTTGCCTATGTGGAACTCGGTCTAGACCATCTATTGGACCTGCCAATATGTTTACTGGATGATATACACGTCACGAAAACACATGTCATTCATTTCCGTACGTCGCCTTCGGTCTGAATATCCGGTAATCTTTGGCCTCTCTATACTTGGTAAGTACCCATTGGCTTTTGAGAAGACTTTAAGCCGAAGAGCGCGTTCAGCCAACGTGAAGCGGCAGCGCTCTTATGTCGAATAGCTGTACCCGTGGAAAAGCATTCACAGTTCACAGCAGTTGATCAACAAACATCTGGGTCAGACCTCCAGATCTCTTAAAGGACATACATCACACAAAAGTGATTCTAGGCTTCATCCTGAAAGATGCGCTCTAGCATCTCATGTTAACACAACAGGGCATTCTATGAATTACACAAGTATCAAAGTTCATTTACTATATATTTGCTAAACTGCGAAAAATTGGAGAACTTACATATCTCCCCAAATTTCGACTCATCACAACCATAAATAGAATCTGTGTTTTGGCCGATTCCACCAGTAAATTTCATTCCACTCAAAATCTAATAATTCTCTTCTCACGATTTATTAATAATTGTTAATTTAAATTCCCATTAATTAAAATATAGTTTATTCAACTGCCTCTGGTCGGTTTAACAATTTCTTACATAACATTCTGAAAATCACATCATCTGAAGTGATTTGGCAACGTTTCGGCACACGCCCACAATTCGTTCCATCTTTCAACACAGACATTGACAACCTTCGGCCTTCTGTCAAAGGTTCATCTCACTCATTATTCCATGACCACCATTTTGTGCAATCATCAAGTGGCTTCACGATGTAATGCTCTAATGTTTTTAAATAATTTTTAATCTGTTTTTAACTTGTTCTTGTCATATTTTATATAATTTTGACCATTGTACCATGTATCCAGCTCTCACCATGTTACTGGACTTTTCCCTCATCCTATACGTAAACAACAATTAGCAACATCCTCACATACTACTGTAAGTTGAGTCAATTTAATTTCATTTTACACTTTTGTTGCTACTGTTATCATTGTAATTGCAGCTCCTGATGATGATGGCAAAGTCCATTGAAGGCTATAGAGAATTAAAAAAGTATAAAGAGTCCTCTTTGCTTGAATTTTGTCGAAGTACCCAACAAAAGGCGGAAGCTTTAATTTTTCACCTAACTGGTCTAGACGACAATGACCACGTCTCAAGTTATATAAATATATATATAGGAGCAGTCGTCATTGCCATTGCCAACGACTAGTTGGGCAAGAAATACAATCAATTGTTAATTGGGAAATTGGCAAAGTTTTTCTTAGGCTCTAGTAAACTCTTTTACCGGTAATCTCGAGCTTTCGGCTTCACTTTGGAGCCATCTTCAGGAGTCGTTGCCGAGGTTGCAGCCAAATGGTGTTTCAAAACGAAAGCGTGGATGAGAGCTCTTGTTACAAATATAAAACCAAAAGGACGGATACATTGGGTTTATTGATAACGATGGAAACCATCGTTAGGTGTTAACACTATAATCAATACACCCTACGCATTAAAAATTATCCAACTGCAATTTTGGGGGAAAAAAACCGGAAGAGTTCATAACTTCCATGTATCTCCGTATTTCAATGTACATTCACCATGAGTAGTGGTCGCAAAATTTATTTATCTAACCTTAGAATAATTTGGTTTTTGCGGCATTCTTCTATATTCTGGTTTCTTTAACTTGTATAGTTGAAACATTTTGGGGAGTTCAAACATTTTCAAATTGGACAATCATCATATTTCATTACAATATTTATATAAATTATATAATCTGGACATCCTGGCATTATGCGGCTAAACTACTATGAAGTTAACAAGACGGTTTTTTCTCACTGGTTTCCAACTTTTCAAAACTCGTGAATTATTAGACCGAAAGGTTCGACCTTAACTCCAAAATCCTGAGATTAGGTGATACCTAACACTACTGTTAAGCAGGATGGGGAACCAGATCTAGGTTTCTATACCTATATGAAGCATTTTCTATCTACATATGTAGCCCTGCTTTAAGCAAGGGTTGAGTGCACCATGTTTAGAAATACAGATCAATAGCAATCCGATTCATCAGTTTCTGAATTGAGTCTGGTTATATTTGATCGTAAACCACTTATGTTAAGCCATTTGGTTTTCTACATAGATTTGTCAAGGTCAGTGCTAGCATGATAGTAGTATCATCAGTAGGGTTTTTCAATTCTTCTTTGTCCACCAAATCCGTTTTTAGTGAAACTATCTTTATTCTACCTTAGATGGCGTAAAAAGCGGTCTACTAACAAAAGTGTCAGATTTTTAATAGCTACTGGTAAACTTCTCGTAATACATTGTCTAATCGCCGTCTTAGGTTTGATTGGACCCTGTGATACACATACTTGATGTTAGGTCAGGGAGATTGTTATTGTACATATATGTGTTGAGAGATTATTTTTCTACTTTTATATTATAATCTGCACGGCCTGTGTAGGCGCTTGGTTTTACCCTGTTCTCCAGTACATCGCCGTCACAGCCCGAGCTTTCAGGTATGTAGTATCATGGATTATAATCAAAACAAAAGCCTTCTATATGCACAATCCTCAGATGTTTTGTGGGCACAAGAATCAATAACAGATACTACTACTATGAACGAAAAATAATCATGAGGCCAGCTCTAGTTCCCTCGGCTACCTAGCCCTGCATCTTAAACTGGCGAGTCATCATTAATAATTTCTCACAAACTAAGTCGCATTGGACGATATGCTGTTGAGGCTTGGGTTGGTAGGTGAAGTGAAGACTTATTCATAGGAATCTTCTGGATAAAATTTGTGGTCTGGATTCCTCCTTGTTATCCAACTACTATATGCATAACTTCCATGTATCTCCGTATTTCAATGTACATTCACCTTAGAATAATTTGGTTTTTGCGGCATTCTTCTACATTCTGGTTTCTTTAACTTGTATAGTTGAAACATTTTGGGGAGTTCAAACATTTTCAAATTGGACATTCATCATATTTCATTACAATATTTATATAAATTATATAATTTGGACATCCTAGCATTATGCGGCTAAACTACTATGAAGTTGACAAGACGGTTTTTTCTCACTGGTTTCCAACTTTTCAAAACTTGTGAATTATTAGACCGAAAGGTTCGACCTTAACTCCAAAATCCTGAGATTAGGTGATACCTAACACTACTGTTAAGCAGGATGGGGAACCAGATCTAGGTTTCTATAGCTATATGAAGTATTTTCTATCTACATATGTAGCCCTGCTTTAAGCAAGGGTTGAGTCCACCATGTTTAGAAATATAGATCAATAACAATCCGATTCATCAGTTTCTGAATTGAGTCTGGTTATTTGATCGTAAACCACTTATGTTAAGCCATTTGGTTTTCTACATAGATTTGTCAAGGTCAGTACAGCTAGCATGATAGTAGTATCATCAGTAGGGTTTTTCATTTCTTCTTTGTCCACCAAATCCGTTTTTAGTGAAACTATCTTTATTCTACCTTAGATGGCGTAAAAAGCGGTCTACTAACAAAAGTGTCAGATTTTTAATAGCTACTGGTAAACTTCTCGGAATACATTGTCTAATCGCCGTCTTAGGTTTGATTGGACCCTGTGATACACATACTTGATGTTAGGTCAGGGAGATTGTTATTGTACATATATGTGTTGAGAGATTATTTTTCTACTTTTATATTATAATCTGCACGGCCTGTGTAGGCGCTTGGTTTTACCCTGTTCTCCTGTACATCGCCGTCACAGCCCGAGCTTTCAGGAATGTAGTATCATGGATTATAATCAAAACAAAAGCCTTCTATATGCACAAGCCTCAGATGTTTTGTGGGCACAAGAATCAATAACAGATACTACTACTATGAACGAAAAATAATCATGAGGCCAGCTCTAATTCTCTCTCCAAAATCACGTCGCGCGTTTTTCCCGTATGTTGTCGGTTTTCTGTTCCGCGACAAAGGGTTCGCAAGGTGTAAGCATATCGCGAATATAACTAGGCTCCTCATTCGCTGGTGGCTCACTTGCCTCATAGCGAGTGCCGGGAGTGGTTAGGTTTTTCCACTTTTTTAGTTTTACTCATATATGCGTAATTATAAATTGCCAAAGCGCAAAGTAGCCCTGCAGCAGTAGCAATTTCACCATCCATACTCGTCAAGATCGCAAACTACACTGTGAAGTAGGCGCGAACATCTGCGAATGAGGAACTGTAGGAACAGTTTTCGGGATTCGAACCGCGATCCGCGCCGCGATTTCTCGCCGTGACCAGTGCGTGAGTCTGGAGAAGGTATAAAACCGCCTCCAAAGTCACGCGCGAACTACCCGCGACTCATGAGTGTGGATCCCATTCGCGTATTCTTCGCGGCGTCACTTCGCGTTCGCGCGAGTTACAGACACCAGATATACATAATTCTAGAATTGCATTTCACATAGCTTGCACTTTTTACAGAGTTTATAAATATACCGTAATTTGCATTGTATTCAGTTCTAGCTATTTCTCGGTCCGTTTCACATCAATTTTGTACGTTTTGAAAATAAAAGTTTTTTAAAAACTTATGTCGGAGTCGTACTTCCGTAAGTGGCGCAGTCGCAGTAGGATTCACGTCGGGACGTGTTTCGCGAAGTTTCTATCGCAGATTACGGCGAGTACTCGGTTCGTTTTAACGTTTTACCTGACACTAACATCAAACCAGGACACTCCAAGAAGTTCCTGAAGAAGAAAAAGCCGACCAGAATAGTTGGGACTCATCCAAGGCGGATCCATCGAGGAAACCACCAACGGGAGATCAAAGATAAGATTAGATTTAAGGCAAATCACCACATCACAGATGAGAATCATCTTGTGGCTATCGTAAGACTCATTTCCTTTCGTATTTTTCCCTTAGTTCCCATTATTTTTCTTATATCTACGACTAAAGCTAAAACGCTTGAAAATATAGTGCATGTCCGATAGTGACGATCTTGAAACTTTAATTGAGAGAATTGCCAATTGGAATCTATACAGAATGCCCGAAACAAGAGCGACTACTGCCTCAGCTTCAGGCGTTAGAGACGTAAATATATCTTTGCTTAGATATCAGGCTGATAACATTCCACCTTTCGATGGAAATCCTAAACAATTACATAGATTTATATCTTCTTGCGAAAATTTTCTAAGAGCTTTCCAAAATACAAATAATGTGAATGATCCAATCAATATTTGTTTGCTAGATACCATTTTGAGCAAATTGAGGGATCGTGCTGCAGATTTAATTGGTTCGCGATCAGAATTAAATTCATGGGTAGCAATAAAAGATTCTCTTACTGTAACTTTTTCCGATCAACGGAGTATTGATTGTTTCATGACAAAAATCTCAGAGACTGCACCGATTAACCATCTCAACTTCCCAAACTACGAGGTGCACTCCAATCTGAGAAAGAACGGGGGAGTTGTGGTTTTTGTCCGCAGCAGTCTTTCCTGCTCCAGGGATCTTTCTTTGGAATCAGACCGGAAGGACATTCTGTGGCTTCGCCTCAACTCCAAAACATCACCCAAATTTATTTGCTGCCTTTATCGCTCTCCCTCGAACCATAACTGGGATGACCTACTCGAATACCTCTCCGTCCAGATCGACTTCCTGAACATCAATCACCCCGCTTCAGAGGTAGTTCTTCTCGGTGATTTCAATGCCCATAATGAGCTTTGGTTGGGCTCAAATAAGACCGATGCAGCAGGTCGTGCAGTCGAAGCGTTCGCTCTTACTCAAGGGCTGACCCAGCTGGTGACGAGCCCTACTTTTCTTCCCCGCGTCTCGTCACACGCCAGTAGCCTGCTGGATCTCTTTCTGACCACGCATCCTGCCCCTTACAGCACTGCTGTCCTGTCCCCCCTGGGTAACTCAGATCACGGTGTTGTGGAGGTTAGGTTTCGGTCAAAAGCCGCTGTGGCAGCAGAAACTCGCACAGGCCGCAAAACTTGGCATTACGGACATGCCGACTGGAAGGGGCTCAGAGACTTCTTCTCTAGCTTTCCTTGGAGAGATGTCTGTTTCACTGACGCGGATGCGTCGACTGTCTGTTCTTCAATAACCGAAATTATCCACGTCGGAATGGAGGAATACATCCCTCACACAGTGAAAGTTCCTAAACCAGGGTCCAACGGCTGGTTCAACAAATCATGTGACACTGCTCGCCAGCAGAAGATCAAGGCCCACAGAACCTACTTACAAAACCCCACTGTAGAGAACAGACAAGCCGACGTCGAGTCCAGAAACAAATATAACGAAGCGGTTCGCAATGCCAAAAACCAGCATGATATAAATGTTAGGCACAGGGTAATGTCGCAGCGCAATGGCAGTCGGTCTTTCTGGACGCTGGCCAAGCAGATTGAAAAGAACTTCTCACACAGTAGCCTTCCACCACCTACGTGTCAGGATGGAACTATTGTATTCGACTCAAAGGCCAAGGCGGAAGTGCTAACCAAGATCTTTGCTGCCAACTCCACCATGGACGTCCCCACCAACGCCCAAGTGCCGTCAATTCTAAGGGTTCCTCACACTATGCGGGAGGTAACATTCAGGCATAAGACCGTAAGACGAGTGCTCTTGTCGCTCGACATCAACAAAGCTTCTGGTCCGGACTTGATTCCTGCCATTGTACTGAAGAGATGTGCAGCGGAGCTTGCTCCAGTTCTTTCGCGTCTCTTCCAGATATCTTATGAATCCGGCACCTTCCCAGAAAACTGGAAATTTGCTCATGTACAGCCCATCCCAAAAAAGGATCTAAAACCGACCCTTACAACTACAGGCCTATAGCTCTGCTTTCTGTCATAAGTAAAGTGATGGAGAGGTGCATAAATCGCGAGCTTCTGGACTACCTCGAACGTCACAGCTTGATTAGCGACAGGCAGTACGGTTTCCGGCACTAACGATCCACAGGGGACCTCCTAGCTTACGTCACGCAACTGTGGAGTAAACTCATCCAGTCTCATGGTGAGGCTCATGTCGTTGCTCTTGACATCACGAAAGCGTTCGATCAGCTGTGGCACGCTGCCCTCTTAAGCAAACTTCCATCCTATGGCCTCCCAGAAAAGCTTTGCAGATCGGTGGCTGACTTTATCTCTGGCCGCAAGATATCCGTCGTAATTGACGGATTCTCCTCTTCATCCCACAACGTCAACGCGGGTGTTCCCCAGGGATCGGTCTTGGCTCCAACACTGTTACTCTTACATATCAACGACCTCCTTTCCTGCACGATCAACCCAATCCACAGCTTCGCTGATGACAGCACTCTACATGCAGGAATTCAGAGTGACAAGCCGATCTCTGCCGCTGAGCTGGAAAAAAGAAGACTAGCGACGACTTCTTCTCTGACAAGAGACCTGGAGGCTATCACTGCTTGGGGACGCAACAATCTTGTACAGTTCATTGCTTCCAAAACACAGTACTGTACTTTGACGAACAAAAAGCGTCCTAGCGCTCATACAGTTTCGATGGACGGTCGAGTTCTACCAAA